ACTATTAACACCAAAACATTTAACACTTTTGAATTTGCTGTGCATGATGCATTGAGTTTTTCCTTTCCAGTCTCCTTTCTCACTCACTATGTGTTAATAGACCTCTCTGCATTGAATCATATTATTAACCTCTGTCTCTCTTCCACAGCATGTCTTTTATCCTGTCTTCCTTCTCTCACCCCAACCAATCACAGCAGATGGCCCCGCCCCTCCCTCAGCCTGGTTCTGCCTGAGGTTTCTTCCTGTTAAAAGGGAGTTTTTCCTTCCCACTGTCGCCAAAGTGCTTGCTCATAGGGGGTCATATGATTGTTGGGGTTTTCTCTGTATCTATGAAGCGCCTTGAGGCGACTTTTGTTGTGATTTGGCGCTATATAAATAAAACTGAACTGAATTGAATTATCTATCTATCTATCTATCTATCTATCTATCTGTGTGTGTGTATATATATATATATATATATATATATATATATATATATATACAGTGGGGCAAAAAAGTATTTAGTCAGCCACCGATTGTGCAAGTTCCCCACTTAAAATGATGACAGAGGTCAGTAATTTTCACCAGAGGTACACTTCAACTGTGAGAGACAGAATGTGAAAAAAAAATCCATGAATTCACATGGTAGGATTTGTAAAGAATTTATTCGTAAATTAGGGTGGAAAATAAGTATTTGGTCACCTCAAACAAGGAAAATCTCTGACTCTCACAGACCTGTAATGTCTTCTGTAAGAAGCTTTTCTGTCCCCACTCGTTACCTGTATGAATGGCACCTGTTTGAACTCATCATCTGTATAAAAGACACCTTCCACAGCCTCAAACAGTCAGACTCCAAACTCCGCCATGGCCAAGACCAAAGAGCTTTCGAAGGACACCAGGAAAAGTATTGTAGACCTGCACCAGACTGGGAAGAGTGAATCTACAATAGGCAAGCAGCTTGGTATGAAAAAATCAACTGTGGGAGCAATCATCAGAAAATGGAAGACATACAAGACCACCGATAATCTCCCTCGATCTGGGGCTCCACGCAAGATCTCATCCCGTGGGGTCAAAATGATCATGAGAACGGTGAGCAAAGATCCCAGAACCACACGGGGGACCTGGTGAATGACCTGCAGAGAGCTGGGACCAAAGTAACAAAGGTCACCATCGGTAACACACTACAACGGCAGGGAATCAAATCCCGCAGTGCCAGACGTGTTCCGCTGCTGAAGCCAGTGCATGTCCAGGCCCGTCTGAAGTTTGCCAGAGAGCACATGGATGATACAGCAGAGGATTGGGAGAATGTCATGTGGTCAGATGAAACCAAAGTAGAACTTTTTGGTATAAACTCAACTCGTCGTGTTTGGAGGAAGAAGAATACTGAGTTGCATCCCAAGAACACCATACCTACTGTGAAGCATGGGGTGGAAACATCATGCTATGGGGCTGTTTTTCTGCCAAGGGACAGGACGACTGATCCGTGTTAAGGACAGAATGAATGGGGCCATGTATCGTGAGATTTTGAGCCAAAACCTCCTTCCATCAGTGAGAACTTTGAAGATGAAACGAGGCTGGGTCTTCCAACATGACAATGATCCAAAACACACCGCCCGGGCAACAAAGGAGTGGCTCCGTAAGAAGCATTTGAAAGTCCTGGAGTGGCCTAGCCAGTCTCCAGACCTCAACCCCATAGAAAATCTGTGGCGGGAGTTGAAAGTCCGTGTTGCTCGGCGACAGCCCCAAAACATCACTGCTCTCGAGAAGATCTGCATGGAGGAATGGGCCAAAATACCAGCTACTGTGTGTGCAAACCTGGTAAAGACCTATAGTAAACGTTTGACCTCTGTTATTGCCAACAAAGGTTATGTTACAAAGTATTGAGTTGTATTTTTGTTATTGACCAAATACTTATTTTCCACCCTAATTTACGAATAAATTCTTTACAAATCCTACCATGTGGATTCATGGATTTTTTTTTCACATTCTGTCTCTCACAGTTGAAGTGTACCTCTGGTGCAAATTACTGACCTCTGTCATCATTTTAAGTGGGGGAACTTGCACAATCGGTGGCTGACTAAATACTTTTTGCCCCACTGTACACACAGTAAAACTGCGCTAGGTTAATATAACAGAAACAAGAACTGGGACATTTGTTGTCTTATCTGTTTTCTGATGATTCTGAGGAGAAAAAAATGAGCATTTTTGTGAAACCGTGACCAGAAGCATACAAAATGTCCTGTATTTCAAAAGAGTTCTTTGACATTTTAATTTTCCTGTTTTCATCACCAGATTGTGGACAATGGCAATGGTGTATAATATTGGTAATCAAGGGAAATGATCGTGAAGGACCTTCCAGTTTTATGAAATCTACTGAGTAACTGCAATATTTTCATGGACTGGCCTTCCCTTAAAAAAAACCCAACCTCCTCAGGATGGCAGTGAACATCGCTCCGAAACCAGTCAGCATTAATGGTGCCTACACAGAAGTGCAGGTTACCCGTGGAATCTGCATTAATGTGCTTCTCTAAAATAAACTGTATTCTCCATGGAATTCATGTAAACTGAAACTAATGCCTTTAAGTTTAAGTTAATTTCAGATAAAAACATAAATGCTGGAAAAACTCAGTGACAGCAACAGAGGAGTGGGTCCACCTACAACGCAGATTGCAACACGCGCACCAGTCATAGCAGAGACATCAAAAAATGTCAGTGTGTATGTTGCATGTACACATTAAAGCACTAGCAATGAATAGATGAAAAATGCAGAAAATAGTAATGTGAATTGTGCTTAAATGCAATTTCTGCAGCTGCCTTATTTACACTGGCACAATATTGTGGTGCAAACTGTAAAAAGTGATCTGTTCCAGGAAGCCGCTCTGCCAAGTTATCTGAAAACCCCTCATATCTAGATCACAGAGCTGTTCCTAGTTGCACTGATTTGCTTCCTGGAAACCCCCACCCCGCCTTTAGACATCTTAAGATAATGCTCAGTAATTTCAGTCAGTTTTTTATCTTTCATATCCAGAACAAAAGCAAATAGTCATTCATGTAAACAAGGTTAAATTCAGCTTTGAGCCATGAAAGGTGACAACATCTGGCCTTTTACAGACAAAAGTAAAACAAAGCAACAACAAATGACTTAATAAAATCTTAATAACATCTTTAAGTTTAAGAAAGAATTCCTGCAAGAGCTGTAAGACTAATGTCGCTCATGTATTTGTGCACTAAGTCCAAAACTAATCACACATCCTGACGCTCATGGAAAACAATATGCAATCAGTATGCATGAATGAATAAAATTGTAATTGCCAAATTGCTACAGCATGAGTAATCTGACCGCAGAGTGAAAGTGCAGCTTCCTGTTCACCTGCAAACCTGCGTAAGTACACATCCACTGGATGTTTCTGCTGTGTGCAAACAGGCTCAGCTCAGAGGGGCAGGGTGTGGATGAATTGCAGCTTTTGCCTGCTGGGTGATCCTGGTGCTGCTGAGCTGAACTCCTGCTGTAAAGCAACAGGCAAACAGCACAACAAAGCTGCTGCTTCTCCGGGGACATTATTAGAGATGTTGTTCTACAGGAACATCAGGAAGAGGCAGATAACATAAACACACATCCACACATACTGTACAAGCACTTGTTTTGTTTTTTGTTTTTTTCTTAAAGTGTATTGGTATTTCTGTAGTACATAGCATTTCAAAAACTAACAAAAACTAATAACAGTAGCAAAACAGTGCAATTAATCCTTATAAGTAGAAAAAATGCCTCCAAAGTGAGTGTAGTTTAAACGGGCAAACTAGTGTAATCCTGTTAGTACAATAGCAGCTTTCAGTTTATTGTTTTGGTGTTGAGGAGCTACAGCTTTATGTTTCCTTTCTGTGTTGCAACACTTATAAACAGCAGCTGCTGCCTTCAACAACAAGCCTGCTGTACACTACCTTCTGAATGACAGGAGGAAAGCAGAACCATTAAACATTATTTCTTAACATTTTAACTTTGTTGAACTGGCAGGTCTGTGTACTGACAAGAGACCAAAAAGGTTATCTGATATAAATTTACATTTCAGGTCACAAACCTATTAGAGCAGTTTGGCTTCTTCTAATGGGGATTAGTGTTACATAAAAGAGGCCCAAAGATGGAGCCTTGCGGAACTCCACAGGTGAGCTTAGAAACTTTGTTCAACACATCTCTGTTTCAGGGCTGTGGACCAAAGGCACAAATCTTGAAAGGACACTTGTTTTTCTTGAGACCTAAGATCTTTTTTTCCTTTTTATTAGGCTATCAGTCATGTGTGTAGATAGTTCATTACATGTGAATCTTTTCAGAATGTACATTCGTCCTCCCCACCATCACCAAGTGCTTGCTGATAACAGTGAAATTGTTGGGGTTCTCTCTCTAATGTTACACTGTTGTTGTGAAGTGATACATTAATATAACTGAACCGAAGCCCACTTGAAATGAAATTGGCCCACAAATAAAATGAGTTGTCTACCTTTTTTTTGTTTTGTTTTACTCATTACAGGTTTTAAAATAAATATTGTAGTAGTATCATAATAATGATGCAGTACTCTGTCTATTTTTAAATAATGTGGGGTTTTGTGTCACCTTTACACATTTTACAGCCATATCAGTTCTAACCGTTCCTGCTTTAGGTCACATTGGTGACATTTCAAAACTTTCACTTATGCAAGCTGTCCTTTCCATGGTGGTGGATCAGTGACTAAATTTGCCCCAGATTGGTCAGACTCATACAGACCGTACTCATACCCCTGCCAGCCCATTCATTGAGAAATCAAGCTCTACTGTTAAACTAAAACTGCAGTCTCCGCGCGGTGGTAGTAAATTAGTGGCTTGTGGAAGAGACTGGCACGGCATGGGCACACACTGGGTAGAGGTTGTGGGGGGCTTGTGCGCAATGGAAACCAGAGGGGTGGAAGGTCGGTAATGGAGGGGAGGGAGGTAAAGGTGGGGCGGGGGTCTATATCGACTATCCAGATTGTGGAGGGAGGGCCCGCCTAGTGGCTTCCTGGCCCCCTGCACCGTGCGGGTGTATTATAGATGCGCATCCAGGCAGCCGGGCGGCACTGCATGTTTACAATGTAACAGGCAGACTGGAGCCGCACAGAGGGCAGGGCTTAACCATTAACTAACATTAACCATTAAATCAGCTGTGCAGAGCCGGTACCGCACATAAGGCGTGCGTACCGGCTTCCACGCCTCACAAGCCTGAGCGCGTTAACAAGAGGTGGAGGATAAATTCAGCCGGGCACACGGAGTCCCTGTACTCATACAGATCATCACTCCGGTCTGTCCTCACACCGAGGACCACTGGCACTCAGAGGTAAGCACCCGTGAGCTTTTTTATGTATGTATTTATTTTTACATTACTTATTTTAATGTGCACATTTCTACCGGGATGTGTCATTCGAGACTCAAACTGCAAAGCCGCAACTTGTACCTCAGCTATGGTGATGGTGAAGAATGATTACTTTTTTTCTCTTTTTTAGGGGGGTGGGGGGGACACAATTTTTCACGAGTTTAACACTCGTGGTTACAGTGGCAGTGACATGGGCTCCAGCCCGGCGATGGAACAGAGAGCCCTCTGCCCTCGTTTAAATGAGAAGCAGAACAGAATAGCAGGGCTCGTCTATTCAGCCCTGACCAGGGGAGCACTAATTTACGCCTTTGCCATGTTGGGTTCGGGTGGTGTTGGTCCTGACTACTAAGCAGAGGATTGTTTGAGCCGGGAAAGTCCGTGCGGATGTCGCAACTTGCAGTCAGAGGAAAGCTGCTTCAAGTCAGCAGCAGCAACACTGGAAGGTAAAAGAAAGGCCTTCAGAGTAAAAGCTGCTTTATTATGTGAAGTAAAAACGGGTGGACCGTGACCTGATCTCACCAAGGATCGCGTCATAGATTGGTGATGGTATTTTTTCAACAGGCTTCATCACCACACTGAGTTGAATAATACAGCAGTTTATGTCAGTAGCTGACATTACTGTTTTAATTAAAGCAGCACTGAATGCTTTGCTTTACCTGCTGCTTACTTCTGTTGATACAAGTAGTTCATGTCGGTGTGAATGACTAACCATGTGTGTCCACGCTCGGTACTTGACTGCAGTGAGGTTGTTTCTGATGTGTGATGGGGACCTCTGTTGTGTTACTGTTTGCTACACTCCTGTCTGCTGCAGTGAGTTTAAGAGTTGGGGGGTTTAAGCTGACGGCACTCTGGGCTCACGGGTAAAGTGAGGGGTGTTTTTTACTTTGAAAATTGTGACAGTGGTCGTTGTTGCGCTGCTGTGGTTGGAAGCTGTGCTTGCAGAGGATGTGCGCAGCGCCTCTGTTAATGGTGGAATATTTTTAGCCACCGGGAGGAAATTTGGCGCTGGATGAAACTGTTTTTAAACTCACTGTTGGGATCTGCTCAGCACTGCTGTAATGGAGGGGAGAGCAAACAATTGTCTGGGGCTATACTAATCTATTAGTAGGGCTGACGGGGCATTTGTGGTACCCACGGTGAAGTTAGTGCCTAACAGTGATTTTCTGTCCTCTTTATTTATTTTAACATCTGAATATGACGAGCTGCAACATCCAAGCCTAAACACCACCGCACAGTGTCTCTGTCCTCTCACCAGTTAGATCTGAATGTTGGTTTGTAACTTTTTGGAATTTTTGATTTATGAATATTTTGATCAGGGCAGTAAAAGCTGCCCTGCTACTTAGAGATTTTTGGAAATAGATGTGGGGTACTGCTGGAAAATGATTTTATTTAAGACTGAATAATTAATGATATTCATTCTTTCCCCAGGTGACGGTCCACTCTGGTTGGAGAGATACTTTTCCACTGTTGGTAATTCAATCCTCATACTGAGACCTTTAAATATCACATTTGAAAACTGTCCAGCGGCCACGTGGTGTAAAGTGAGACGTTTGGAGCCCTGTGCAGCGACCAGTCTCACATGGACAGCAGACTGACAGCATGACCGGTGCCACTGCAGGTCTCTGATTTACATATTTTTCCAGCTTGTACTGAACTGCAAAGGACTGTTTCCAGCTGACTGCAGGGGATTTCTGTGGTGAGTCCCCTCCCTGTTGTTTTCTATCCTTTTCTATGTTGAACCAGTATGTCTTCTGTTTTTTGCCGGCCTAACCTGAGCACCTTGCAGTGAATGGAGAACATACTGGTTCTGCTCCCGAAGCACCGACAGGAACACAGGCTTTGCAGACGCACGGCTGCATGTGCCTCGCTGCAGGTTTTTTCTGGCAGAGTGTTTTTCTCCCAGTCTTTATGACCGACCTCCACACCTTGTCGGCCTCTTTAATGGGATAAATCAGTTGGACTGATCAGGTTCAAAACCAGATCCGGTGGTCAGTTCTGACTTTCCCATAAAACCGTTAGGCTGAGGCACGCTGACCTTTTCTTATCAAGCCCACTGTCTTCAAAGGCTTCCGCATGGTACTTTGGTCGAAAGAACAAGAAAAGCTCCCCGACATCGACATGTCTTCTGGGGCCATTGAGATGAAGAAGGAGGGAGGCCCCCTCACTTCGGCCTTCCTCAACTCCAACTGCACCGTCCACCCGGTGATCCTGACAAAGGGCCCCGAAGAAGTGAGCCCGGTGACCGGGGATGAGTTTGAGCTCACCGAGGTCACATCTTTCCCCGAGCGAGTGAATGAGACTGGGGAGAACGACGAGAGGTCGGAGATTGTGGTGGCCATGGACTGTCGGGCCAATGCCAAAGGTCAGCGAGAGGAGGATGCGCTCCTGGAGAATGCAAGCCAGAGCAACGAGAGTGATGACACCAGCACCGATCAGAGCCCCGAACCAACAGCACCCCTCAAGGAGACCTCCTTTTCCATCGGACTGCAGGTGGTCTTCCCCTTCTTGCTGGCCGGGTTCGGGACGGTGGCAGCAGGGATGGTGCTAGACATCGTCCAGGTGAGTGAGATTTCTTACACAATGTAATTGGCAACTCAGAATAAAGAACTCAGGCTGGTTAATCCTGTGTTGTCTACTCTTTAAAAAGTTTTTGTTTTGTTTTTTGCATTGACAGGGGTTCGGCTGTTGGAACTTGCAAAAAGTCTGGTGTCAATGCACAACCCCAACTTTTCCTCGCAGGCATTTACATTTCATTTCACAGCTGTTTTTCTAAGCAGATCCACTGCACCAAGCAGGCCATGTGTAGTCACACTTACGGGATAGGCTCGTGAAACATTTGAATGATCTAGTGCACCGAGGCCGGTTTGCCTTGGCGTGTGTCAGTCATCGTGCTGGTGGCCTATCTGGTTGCCTGTCTTTGGGGATGTGTGTATGGGGCAGTTATCAGACACCATGGGGGTATTTACATAACATTTTCTCCTCAGCGGCTGGGCTGACTGTCCCTGTGGCTGGCGCATACTGGTACACACTGGTGTGTCTTCTAACGAGTCATCACACACACACACACCTCTTTTCAAAATCTCACATAAAGTACAAGAAACAATAGACGGTATTTGCATAGCAGTGCATAGCCAGGGAGCTATATGATCCACTTGGCCTTTAAAGGAGAATAGGACTTGATTTCCTGATGAGTCACTGCCTTTGCTCTGAGAGGATCCAAGTGTGCTCTGTAGAAATGTTATATATTTATTTGAAGTCCGCTTGGAATGCAGATAAAGCCGGCCATGTCAGTCCGCCAGGTCTGGGCAAACTGTGTGCACATACGCTGATGCCAACATGGTGGACCCCAGAAACTCAGAACAGACAGGAGGGGGGAGGCGGGGGAATAAGTTTACTTTCTTTGAGCACCTGAAATGGCAGCGTACTACAGCTGAGCTAGAGTCGGAGTAAAAACAAAATACAATTCAGCGCCAAGGCCTCTATTGCCATGTGGTTAGGTATCCTCGCTAAACCAGGAATGCAGAGGTTTGAGGTCAAAAAAGTTTTCATGCTGCCTCAACTTAGGCACCATGCTGCTGCGTTCTCTTTAATTTCCAAAACACTCAGTGCACCATTCTTTCAGAGGTGTGACTGGAAACAAGCTCACACAGAAGGTAGAGGGCCGTATCCCTCCCTGCTGGTCTAGCACTCTTGTACCTGAGAGTAAATAGCTGAAAGAAATGGCTGCAGTAAGATGCGAGGCTTCTTACTGCAGTTCCATTGAGGTCGGCTGAGCATCCAGCAGGTCGTCTGGCTGCCTAATTCCCCCCGTGACACCATGAAACGCTAACTCAGCTAATCCCCCCTGTCCTTGCAGGAAGGTAGTTGTCTAACTCGATCTTACTCTCTCTCTCTCTCCCGTTGGGACTGCAGTTGATCCTCGGCTATAAGTGAGCATAACTTTCTGAGGTCACGTGCTTAGGGTTAGGTCGAGCCCCAATACCTAATGTATATGAAGCTGATGAAAAGGTAGATGTAGTTTCTCGTGTTGGAAAACTCTATTTTTTTTTTTTGTCTCCTGATTGCCAAAACGTGAATAGAACAAGTTTTAACTTGATGCTAAAACACGAGGCAGGTCTGTTTTCTTGCTGCACTGATCTTTATTTGTCTCGCTAAATAAGGAGCTAATTTATGCAGACAAGTAAAGCACAGATCTTTATTTGATTATCAGATGAGATAAAGTGATCCAGGAGAACTTAACTAGCTCTCCTGAGTTCAGAAGTTTCTCTCTATGGATAAAATTCAAAGTCATTTGGGTCTTGCTGTTCTTGTGTTTCTTGGATTGTTCTCAAATTAGACAGAATTATTTGTTTGTTCTTTTGGTTCATTTGTTTACCCCTTATTTCTCCTGGAGGTTAGAATAAAAAGGTCAGGACTCAGTAATCTCCAGTTCCAAAGATGATATGTTGGTTATGAGACAAAGAAAGCACTATAGCCAGTAGCAAGCTTTTCTTCTGGGATGCCTGAACCTTTAGTTAATGTGTCTGCCTGGCCTGAGTTTAAAAGCTGTGGTTTGGACACTTGTGTACTCGACTTTCTGTGTCACTTTCTATATTGGCTCTTTGACCTCTTAAATCCTGGTCACTTTGACCATCTACCACACACGCACAGAGTTTTCTGGCCTTTTTCCCTCACAAGGTTGGCCCAGAAAGGATTGTCCAACTGGTATAGAGGAGTGAGACGTCTGCATAGTTGTGCTTAGTGACTTGGCAGGCAAATGACCTAAAACTGTCAGTCTCTCATTGGCAGGGCCGGGAACCCAGGACTGACCTGCTCAGTTGGACTGAAGGTTACGTGTGGTTTGGAAAGGTCACGCAGTGCTAGTTTTCTTGGGGATGTCGGAGTCCAAGGCCAAATGGGTGATTTTTGTTATTTTGAAACACACGCACACTTACTCACAGTCACATAAGATTTCATCATTTGTGCAATCAATCTACAAACAAAAAGCTGAAAAAAGACAAAAGCAAATATGCGTGTCCAGTGTTGTATGTTATGATAATCATCCGCGTGTGTTTGTCTGCCTCAGAGTTAGCCGTCTGGCCTGGTGTGCGGTGTCTGTAGACTGAAACACCAAAAAAGAGGAAAAAGAATAGAACACAGCTTCAGCCTCAAAGACACACGGTCTAAAAATACAGCAACCGGTAAACAGGAAATCATAGTCCACACAAAGGTTTAACTGTGGCCAAGCCTTCACTACCCACCAGATACCATTTTGGTCCAACCACATCCACGTGCTTGGTTTTCACTCAGGAGTCACTTTCAAACCAGAACGTGGGCTTAATTCCCTCAAACTGCATTGTCTCTTCAGCTTCTAGCTTCATACCCAGACTTTGGTTTCCATAGCTTAATCAGACACCACTTAAATTCACACCACAGTATGCTATTTTTCCATGTTTTCCAGAATTTGTCTGAACAAAATCACCAAAATCTTAAAAATCACAATTTAATAACCCCATGTAAGGATAAGTTTCTAAACTTCTGCCCTCCCTATTGCAGTGACTGACTGCTTGTTATGAGTAGTTGTTTTATTTTGGTGACTTCTGCTTGTAACGTTGATGACGTGACGGTCATTAACAATGTTATCACCTCGCAGCTCTTAAAACGTGACCATATCTCAGATAGCTGCTTGGTTAGGATGTGAGTGATAGGGATGGACAGGATTAGTGGGTTAGAGTGCCTTTGTGTTGCCCCATGCTCTGATTAATCTTTCACAGTGTGAAAGATCCTGAGGAACCTTTGATCCTAGGCTGCCCCCTCATCAGAGTTCAGGCTTTCCACCCCAGCCCTTCTTATCTGGTCCCAAACAATTCAGTTCAGTTCAGTTTTATTGATATGGCACCATATCCCAACATTACCAGCCTCAAGTCACTTTGTATCATAAGGCAAAGCCTCCACAATAGTAGATAGAAAACCCCAGCAATCATACAAGCCTGTATGAGCAGCAAACTCCCTTCATAACAGGAAGAAACCTCCAGCAGAACCAGGCTCAGGCCTGCGAACGCATTATCTAGGTTGCCAACTTGAACTGTGGGGACAGTGTTTGATTTTCCTTATAAATTCATAGAAATCTAAAAAGAGGTAAATTACCATGTGATGATAGCTGATGGTTTTGAGATGGAGTTTTGACTTTCTTTAGCTCCCCACTTGGACTCTTTCCATTCATGCAGCCAAAACCTGCTCGGTAAAACTACATATAGACTACAGATTCCTCTGGTAGCTTGCCCTACATATTCTTCTTATCTAAATGCAGATATTAGTTTATACAGATAAACTAGACCCTGACTGTACCATCCATGCTGCAGCAACAGAAAAATGAAACAGACACCACCTGCTGTAGTGTCTGTGACGCTGCTGGAGTTGCGTTGACATTGCATGCCATCGGGGTTCGGCGTCCCGCTCAACACAGCAAGTGCAATTATCACAAATAAAATAAAAGGTCACGTTTCTCAACTGGGCATCCTGACCCTTGCGGGGCTTGCATACCAGAGCTCCTATAGGTCTGTACACAGAGGTACTGCAGTTCTCCAGTCGAGTTCTTAGAAGCGAGGAGGGAGGGTTTGTTTGGCTCCGAGCCAGCGTTCCATGGAGACAACAACATATATCACCACAGGGGAGGCAAAGAGGAAGATAGGCCAGTGAGACAGAAGGAAAGCTTGAAAACATACAGCTATGAAAGAAGAGAGAAGTGCTCACAAGGCTGTCGGGTTGGCAGAGGGCAGTGAGCCAAGCTGAGAGGCTGGTTGTTGGAAACGAGCTCTGCTTGGCTTAACGACAGCTAAAGGGATAGACAGAAAGAGTTCAACCACCACCTCTAAAGACAACACGAGTGTAGCCGACACTCCTTATCAGTGCTGTACATCTGGTGGGAGCAACCTAGCAAGCACACACATTAGACCTCTGTGTGAGAAATGCAGGCCAGCAGTGTTGTCTTGTAGCTTCAGCATCTGTTTTCCCCTCTTTCTTTTCTGCTCGGTGCCAGCCTCAGTGAATATTGATTCCGCTCGGGTTAGACTGGACTGTAAGTGCTGGGGGCCAGTGGGACCGGCACCTATGATAAGCACTTTGACTGGAGATAAATCGATGGCCTTAGCTTCAGCAATAGCTTTGTTTCTGGCCACAGTAGACCGCAAATCTGCTATCGCTGCATGAAGTCTAATGGAGGGAGAAGTTCACAGAGGGAGTTACAGGGAACCCACCTCTCGAGGACTGGCCAGCAGCCAGGGACCAGGTTATCGAAGGTCAGGCCTAATAATACTAGCTGTAAATGTAATTTCAGACCATCTACTGGATACACAGCTGAGCAGTCTTGTTCCCTTACTTGTTCCCTTATTTGTGGCTCTGTCCAGCTAGGCCACTACCTTCAAAGCTGATTTAGATAGATGAGCTGCTGGCTGACTTTCTCGGAGTAGTGTGTACAGCAAAATGTAGCTTTTTTTATGCTGCGGTAAGAGCTGAGCAAGCAAGCGCACCCCTGGCAATGAATGATCAGATGCTGAAGCACTAAAGTAGGCAAGAGTAATATCAAACTATTTTTTCTATGGTACATGATGCATTGGGCTTTGGCTTTACTCTATTAATTCAGTCGGATGTTTTGTACACTCATGCTGTGTTATGTGTCACAGAGGGTCCCCATGAGGAGGGCAGAGCACTGAGAAATATTTTGCTTTTCCTTATTTTCTATCGTATGCATACTATATAATAGATTACAGTGGTGGATGCTCATATTAAACATGGGCAAAGTTTCAGATAATCAGAGTACCATATGTACAAGTAATCCTATAAGCCATAACAGTGTTCAGGTTTAGCATTTGCTTGATGATATCAATGAGATTGGGTATCTTTAACCAATGAGAAGAGAGTTGGCTTAGGTGTGAGGGAGCTAAAACGACTTGTTTCAGACATTGAACTGGAAATTAACATAATGCTTTGTCTTTAAGAGTTGCTAATCATCTAGTTCACTTGGCTTCTAAATATTCAGTCCCATCTATCTTACTGATGCTGTTTAGCTGTGCCGTGTTTCCATTTGTGTGGCACTGGATGGGGAAACGGCCGTGTGGAGAACAAGATCTGGTTCCGCCCATCAAAAACTATTCAGTTCAATTCGGTTTTATTTATATAGCGCCAAATCACAACAACAGTCGCCTCAAGGTGCTTTATATTGCACAGTAGATCGTACAATAATAGATGCAGAGAAAAACCCAACAATTATATGACCCCCTATGAGTAAGCACTTTGGTGACAGTGGGAAGGAAAAACTCCCTTTTAACAGGAAGAAACCTCCGGCAGAACCAGGCTGAGGGAGGGGCGGGGCCATCTGCTGCAACCGGTTGGGGTGAAAGAATACCGAGATTGCAGTCTGCTTTTATTCTGGAATATCTTGTGCAGTACAGATTTCGATATAAATATAAATGTGTATAGTATTATGATTACACAGAGACATGAGACAGTCCCTGTGTTTACACTACAGGAGATGGTGGGTAAAGGTGATAGAGAAGGAAAACAGAATGCAAGCTAAAGTAGGAGAGTGATCAATCATTTCAGCTTTAGGTTTTACTGCCCTTGTTCTTGTTAAGAGGGAGCTGGCATGATACATAGTGTGAAAGGTCTATAGAGGCAGATTTTCTGCTCTTTAATGCAGGAGTGGTTTCACCTCTAAATCAATATTAAAGGTTGCACAGACCCAGAGACAGTCTGCTCCGAACTGCAGCTAACCTCTATCTATGCGGGTGACAGCATTCTGTGTGGCTGTGAACCAGTTTCAGTATGGCAGAGTGTGCGCTCTGTTAATGTTGTGGTGCTGATAATAATGTTTTGCTATGTCATTGCAGCACTGGACGGTGTTCACCGATGTGTCTGAGGTGTTCATCCTAGTTCCTGCACTGCTGGGGCTTAAAGGCAACTTGGAGATGACGCTGGCCTCCAGACTTTCTACAGCGGTAAGAAACTTGTCAGACTACTAGCCTGTTACAGGTTACACGTCTTCCATGACCTTTTATCTTATATTGAAAGGCTGTCCTAGCAGTGATGAGTAACTGAGGTATAAATTTTGGATTTGTTTACTTTAAGTTGCATTGAATTTTCTTTAATAGTTTTTCAATCTATTGCCAGACCTATGGTCACTGTCAGACCCCTCAAAGCTGATTGTGCGTAGGTTCAGAGGTTATATTGCCTATGTGACATAGATTTCAGACAAACTGATTCCTCACATTCCTCACTAAATATTTCCACTGACCCCATCTAGCTTGTTCACCTGGGTTAGCAGGTTGTTTAAAGGTGAATGGAAGTTTTTTTTTACCTCTGCCTGAAGACGTGAACTCCAAATATCAAGTAATTTGAACTAAAAGTGTTTTCCTTTGATCTAGTAGCTAAAATTGATTGAATTCTCAGAATATGCTGGTATAGCTCAACCCAGTGTCACATCACTGTTGGAGCTGGGAGATAATTTAAGAGCTTTCTTGCATAATGCGACATGAACTTTCTGTCATATTGGACTTCATAAAACCACCAATTGTGAGGGAAAAATGAGTATTTCCAATTGTCTGAGGAGTTATTGCTGGAGGTTGCTGCCTTTCGCTAGGTGAAATTAAGCTGAAGGCAAATGGTCTTCATTTCCTGTTTGTGTCGCAATTTTCACAGAGTCAGTACTAGAGATGGCACGATACCACTTTTTTATGACCGATACCGATATCATAAATTTGGATATCTGCCGATACCGATATGAATCCGATATAGTGTTTTTTTAAAATCAATAAAACAGTTTTTTTTAATATCTTGCTGCTTTTTGTATAAGTTCATACTCAAGTTAAAAAAAACAAACACTAAAGCCATTCTGCTATACACTGCACCCAAAATATTTCATAGTTCAGCAATACTGATCAATCTAATAAACTTAAACCTACTCCATCCTCCCTATTCTGGTATTTTAAAGAGTACTTAGCAGAAATATTAAGCAACCTAACTAATAGGGTTCTAAAACTCCCAGCAAAACAATAAATAAATAAAACAAAATAGGGAACCACCCACCCTCCACCTCATGATGCTTAATTGACATAATCAACTATAATTTGATGCAGTGTGAAAAACAAATACACAGAAATCAGTTATTTTTCAAGAATAATTAAATAGATTCAACATCTTTCTTCAACAGAATTGCAGACTGCACAGATCGTATCTTCCCAAAGGAAAAAGTACTATAGCTTACTAGGGTATATTGGACTTAATAGTTACTATATATACTATAGCTTACTAGGGTATATTGGACTTAATAGTTACTATATAGTTACTATATAGGGCAGCACGGTGGTTAGCACTGTTGCCTCACAGCAAGAAGGTCCTGAGTTCAATTCCACCATCAGGCCGGGGTCTTTCTGTGTGGAGTTTGCATGTTCTCCCCGTGTTTGCGTGGGTTCTCTCCGGGCCCTATCGGCCCCCCTGGCTAAACTTGCTTGATCCGCCCCTGCACAGTTACCAGCCGTCAGCTACGTAGAAAAGGATCCTGGTGTAGAATGTAAATAAATTCTAACAACAGCTTATCAAGCTTAAACGTGCTGCTGTTGTTCAGCCGCTGGTTTCCTCTTTCTGGCGCGAAGTGAGCGATAAACAAACAAGAGAGACGGACTCGCGACAGAAAAGCCGATCAGCTGATCATTGATCAGTTTCGATTGAAGTAGCAGCAGGAGAGGGAGGGAGAGAGAAGAGGCAGTTGCTCCATATATCGGTTGTTAAGCTTAACGCTGGAATGCTTTACAAACATTCAGAGATGAATTTACACACTTGCTTTACTTCTCTCTGGGATAACTTCCTCGGAGATGAAATGCCGGATTGCTAGCGAGGCTACAAATACACACAGCCGCTCTATCACGTGACCCGTACTGCTGGATGTGCTACGGTTATGAGCCGAGTTACGCCATGTCGCAAGTTTTGTGAGGTGCTTTTTTGATATTTAATGGATCGGATTACATTTTTTTAATTTTTCTCCGATATCCGATCCAGTAATTTACGTCAGTATCGGACCGATACCGATACGTAATATCGGATCGGTCCATCTCTAGTCAGTACCACGGAAATCGATAGCAACTGTAAGAAGTTTTCACCAACCGGTCAGGAATACACACTGATTGTTCTGCAACCACTTTCCAACTGGTTGCAGAACACTTATTTGCTCCTTGTAACCAGCAGTTGCTGGAGGGTGATGGGCTGCTCTCTAGGCCTGTGTGACTGCTACTTTATTTGCTCGACAGTTAACGTCACATTGTTAGGAGTCACATAACATGAAACCTTAATAACATATTATCATATAACATTTGGTTAACTATTAGCTGCTTATAGTGTTTCACAGATACCAAAGTTCTTAGTAGCTCGAATTTCAGCTAGTTACCCATCTAGCCATTCATAGCCAAATGTATACAGTCACATGCTTTTGTTTGTGAAGGTGCAGTGATTCTATGACTGCAGTTTGATACTAGAGGCAATTCTTACGGCTTTGCTATCTGTGAGCTAACAATACCATTTCACATTGTACATAGCTAGCAGGGTCGATGACCTGACAGCACAGGTAACCAGGGGTTAGCAACAAAACTTACATTTTTTTTTATTAGTCCAGTAGTGCTCTTAATTGCACCAATCCTCACATTCTTTCCACTAGCCTGTGTGAAACCAGTGACTCCTCATCCGTGCTGCAAAAAAAAGTCATATGTTTGCAAATTTGTTCTGGAAAATTGCTCCAGTGTACCAACTCATTCTGCTCCAAGCTAAAGGTAAATCTTTAAATCTTGTTTATGTCATCACCTCCTAAATACACCAGTTGGTTTAACCTGTGAATTGGTGGCTACAGCAAAGGTTTCAGATGCAGAATTGAATGTTGAATATGATTTTCAGGTGCACTACTTAAAACTGCACTTTGCAGAGGTTTTATATATTTATAATTTCCATATTTTCTCAGTAAGAGCCCAACGATAGAGGAAAACAAACGGGAAAAGTTGAATATTTGAGGAAACACCGTTGATGCTGATTTAAGGTTCAAACTTCAACAGATTTTTGTAATGATTTGCTTTACTTTCTATTTTATTTCTGTTTTAATTCAGAGCCCAGTGTATAATGGTTAATAACTGTCAGATTGGGAAGTGGAAGTAGTAATGATTTGTCAGAGCTTCAGCACTGATTGAACCAACGTTGTGTAGTTCGATTGGCTGTATTCAAAGGAATGAAAACACAAAATGCATTAGTCATAATAACGTTACATGCATCTACGTGGAAATATGGAAATAAATAAAACAGACTTTTGCATCAATTCTTTCTTTAGTCTGCAAAGTTTTCACTTTTCTCACAACCATCTTCACAAAGTAGGCCCGACCCTGGTGCTTGTCCTGAGACATTACTGTTAGCTCTCTGCTGGCTGGCCTCAGCAGGACCACGTTTCTTTCCACGCCGCCGCTAATTATGAGCAGATTAAGACCACTGTAAGTTTCCTAATGCGCTTATAACTGAAAAAAATCATGTAATCCCCAGTACTGGCTGGCTGTCGGAGTTTTCAGTTCACATGACTGTGGTTCCTTTTTGATTTTTTTCCCCTTGGACTTTTTTAACCTATTTACTGAGGCGTTTAAGGAATGAGGAAATAAGCAGCTGTTTTCTCAGTTCTGTTGAATATAATTGGGCCTAATTGATTATGTATGATTGTTGATGGATTGCCAGCACCACCTGCATTGCAAAGAAAGTTGGGAAAAATAGCAAAGTGTTATCAGAGATTACAATGGCAACAACAGTCGCTGTTTCCCTGTATACTCAACTCATGTATGTTCAGGATTCAGAGCTGGAAACTGCAGACTTGCTCTGTATTTATTAAATAAGAGTGAATGCCAGCAGCTGAAAAACATGGTGCTGCTTTTGAATTTTAGGATATCCATGTTATGTCATCTATGAATCACTTTAACAACATCTCTCTGATGATCCCAACGCCATTAATCCAGCCTCCTACACACACACACACACACACACACACACACACACACACACACACACACACACACACACACACACAGAGCTAAGGATTTGGCATCATTATCACACATCATCACATAACGCCAGGCTATGTTTCTGAGAATTTCTGTGTGTCTTCTGTGTACTCTGTCAGTTTACATGTTGTTCTAAAGGGAAATGTGGTTAGGAAATTCAAAAGCCTTTTTATTGCATCAAGATATATTCTTTGAAACTGAGGCTCTTATATTACGCTCCAAGGTTTTAAAGAAAGTCATATGTGGAGTTGCACAGCTGTTTGGCTCAGTATTATCCGTTTCCCTTAAACCTTCTTATCAGCATTCGTGGCAATCTTCCCACTCTGAGTGACAGCACGGCTGTCGTAGCAGCAGGCGTGCACGCACATACTTACTGATGGGCGTGGCGTGACTCTAATGCTTTGTATCTGGCAGATGCACGAGTTATATTGAATATAACTATTGTCATGTAAGACTAGTTGTTTTAGTGCCAGATTAACTGGATGCTGCTAGACTACGTGAAATGTAAGAGGATGAGTAATGCTTCACACGTACGCACTGAGGCATAGAGACCATCCTGCTGTTTCTCAATGCTGTTTTGTTTTGTTTTTTCATTTAAATACTTTGGTATGTGGGTTTGCCTTTGATAGGCAGAGCGGGTGAATTCCAGTCTGTGTTTTGTTAGGTCAAATAATCTAGCAGCCACAAACACGAGAGTTGTTCCGGTGTTTGGAACTTTTAGTTGCCTGATCTCAACCAAAAGTTGTGAGGTGTTTTGTGGATCATTAGCCAAAGACAGACACCAATCGCGCAAATGCTTTTGATAAAACAGTGCTTTGTTGTCTGCAACACCAGAATAACACCACCAGCCACTGGACAATGCTATTTTCTGTTAAAAAACATTTTGAGTAGCTCTTCGAAAATGTTCTTTTTTTAGATTTATTACAGCTAGCGTCTATTTAAATCTCCGAGCTCTGATTTGTTCTCACAAGTTCGCACTCGGGACACAAAGAAAGTAGAACAGATTGCACTTATAAAGGAAATACCTGACAACTCTAACAACTAGAGGTGGGAATCACCATACATCCCACGATACGATATTATTGCAATTTTTTAAAATATTTTGCTATATTCAAATTCTGTACATAAAGGTAAACTTTATCAATATTCATTTTATCTAATATCAAAGTCTCACACTCAGTCTTTCTCTCATTTCAGTTTTATTGTTGACAAACTGAACGGTTTGTATTACAGTCTAGTCCAACTTAACTGAATGCAACCATCTGGTACAATTATAGTTATTCTGAACTATGCAATTTATGAAAACTATGCAGCCCCTTCAGCAACTGAAGAATTTGAAAGTAAAATAAAACAAAATATAATTTTACATTAAATAAAAAAGTTTTAAACTTAATTAAAATAAAACATGTCTTAAATTAAAATAAGTAAACTGTCATGTTTATTGCTGCCAAAAAAAAAAGTTAAACACATTTGGACAGTGAAGGAATGTCAGGATTGTTGCTCAGAAAAAGGATCAACATGCTCTGAAGTCAGAGTTCCAGTCCACAAAAACTTTTGTAACAAAATATCGATTTCTGCTGTCCCTGTATCGATACATTATTAGCAAACAAAATATCACGATACTACACAGTATCGATTTTTTTCCCCCACCCCTACTAACAACCCTAAAAGTTAATCAGTCAGTTAGAAGAGCATACACAGGCGCTTTGTGAAGCTATGTTGTCTGAATCAAACCACCACAATACCAACCACACACACGCCTACTGGTGAAAGCATCTCTATGGGTTCGGCTGTGGATCTTCACCAATCATTTAACTATATTCATGTAGAAACGTTAGTACAAGTTCAGGGAAAATCACTTTAACGAGTGATTAACAAACACTCTAGCAGAGGATAAACGTTAGAGACAAAATTAAAGGTGAAAGCCGTATCTCACGTGGCATTACACTAAATTCACAGATTAGGTAACACAAAATATTTAAAGCTCTGGAAGCTGTCTTGAGTCATGCAGTGGGATCATGCAGTTCATACACTTTTCAATGAAGAACCAAGGATGAAGTGATATCCTCACGGGCGATTTTCATGTATCCAGCTGTCTCCCTTCCTTCTGCATATGCAAACGAGCGAGGACAAAGAGGAAGAGGAGATTGTCTGTTTGTGTCCTCTCACTGTGGATGGGCATTAGGATCATTGATCTGGGTTCACAGTAGCCCACTGTAGCCACTTGATACACAAGACCATCAGTGTGTGCGTGTGTGTGTGTTTTTAAGGGTGTGTATGTGAAAGAGCAGAGATGAGATAAGTGGAGTCGGCCGCAGGGTGGGGGATCAGATCAGAGTGTCTTTGTCCAGAGAACTGACGCCCTATTGTTCTGATGGGACCAAGAGGCAACAGACTGTGAACACTCTGTATCCCCCCACGCACCCACAAACACACACAGCTACTTACACATGGTCATGATAACGTTTTCGTTCTTATGTGTTTTTCAGGCTAATATTGGGCACATGGACACAGCCAAGGACATGTGGAAGATGATCATGGGGAACTTGGCCCTCATCCAGGTACAGGAAACACAATGAAGACTGCTGTCACGGAGCATCTTCAACATCCATTAAACAGACCAGTCTCATAACGAGACCACTGAAATGCATTATAGTACTAGTGGAATCATGTCGTAATACTCAAAGCAGCAGCAAAGTTTTAAAAAATCTCAAACTGAAATCAAAATATTTTGAAACAGAATATAAAAGATGGGTTTAAAATTAGGTCAGTGCACTGCCTTAACAGCTTAACATTCATCAGGTCCCTGCTGAACCACTTCGCGGTAGGACTAGGATTAGCTTGCATTTTAGCTACATGCTAAACAAGCACCAAAACTAGCTGTAACTTTTAAAATCAACCCTTTTGCATGCACCTAAACTAAGTTGTAGGATTACCACTGACTAATGCCATGCAGGAAAAAAAATCTATATAAGCATCTAGATGAGAACAGGTCACAGGTGACTGGTAGATGTTAACAGGTTAAGCTTGCAGTGTTTCTGATGGCCACCAGGGGGTAGATTTCTCTGCTTGAAGGTCAAAAAAAATTTATTTATTTTTTTATTATTATTATTTATTTATTTTTAAGAACTTTATTTACAAACAACAGTATAACATACAAGGCACCATCATTAATCTGAATATGTAATATCCTCAGTTGAGCATTATAGTAAGAAAAAAACAAACAAACAAAAACCAATAAACACAAAGCCAAAAGAGTTAGCACAAAAAGAAAGAACAGTCATTGAAGAATTTGAACCAAAGGCAAAAAATAACATGAACAAAAAAGGGCAGTCATGATTATAAAATAGGGAGGTTTCTTTTTTAACATAGATTAAACTCGTTAAATAAAACAACAAGTTTATGAGCTTTCTTGTTATTCACAAGTTTCAGCGATTTAGCCCAGAGTTTAAAGTCATTCAGCCATCTGTTTATACATGGTTTAGCTTTAAAGTATCTGCATTTGTGAATAAAAAATTTTCCCATTAACAAAAACGTCCTAATCAACAAGTCAAAATCTGCATTCTCAGCAAGTATTCCAAATTTTATTACTGTCACCGTCAAGTTTGAAAGTCAAATTATTTGGGAGTTCAGAGGAAAAAGGCTCCTAGGTACTTTGCTCTGCTACCTCAGTAAACCCTTTTCTGATGTGTTTATGGTCCCTATCACTGATTTAAAGCCTTACTGTATAAAGCAAGATGATCGTTTTGTAAATTGTGGTCCCCATAATACAGTCTGTCCTTTAACCCTCTCAGGCTCAAATTAAGTTTTTGTTGCTAATGCACAAAAGAATACCTGCAGTGGTACGTCTGAGTAAAAAAACCTCATAAAATATGTATGTGGGGTAATCAGGTTGTTAGCTTTTACTTGTTGCCAATCTGCATCGTCTGCCGTGAGAGGGTTAGCCCAAATGTACAGTGTTTCACATTTATGTCGCATTTCAGGAAGCCAGTTACCAGCCTGTCTGGAAAAGCTTGTTGCACGAGTTATTGCACACAGTAAACACACTGACCAGTCACTACAGAGCACAGTAACATTTGTAAAAGAGATAGGGGCTGACCTCACGTTCAAAAGGATCGAGACAGAACAGACATGTCAGTCGAGTATGGTCTATTTTGTGCTTGATTTACTTGCTCTCACTGCAGCCAAGCTGCATGTACTCGGCTCTTTATATTAGTTTGCAGTGTGTTTTATTTATTGTACACAAACAAAGGCATGAAAATCTCTTTATTGCTTAAAGTCTTTGTTTGGTCTCTCTTGACACAGACCCCGACCCTAGTAGTTTGCAGTGATGTGAGCTTATAGTTATATAATACCTGGTGAGTCCTTGTTCCTGGAACACTAAGCCAGTGTTGGCCGATGCTGTCACAACTTTCTATCTAGGGTTATCTTGCACTCACACTGGGTCACAGTGGTGCTCTCTGAAGGCGGTTACACTGGAAACTGCTTCATATGATTCTGAGAACTCACACTGAAACAGATAGCGAGTGTGCACCATAGCCGCCGTGACATTACTCATTGATTTGTGAACTCCACACTCAAGCCTCCACTTTACCTTTATGGCAGTCACTATCTTTTTTTTTTTTTTTTTTGGAGCCAGAAGTGACCATATTTAGACAAGAGGGAGGCATGCTACGCTAACAATAATACTAGCATTGTGAAGATACCACCTTTAGCAGCAAAAACTTCAGGTAACTGTTTTCTGTGTAAATTTAACAGTCTGTCACGAACCATTCTTCCTTACAGTCTTTGTCACGTTTCTCTTAAGGTCCCACCACAGCATCCAGTCAGGTTGAGCTCTGACTGGGTTCTTTTCAGCCGTTCTCTTGAAGATATGTTGGCTTGCTTGGGATGATTTTCCTGTTGCAAGACCCGGTTTTTGACCAAGTTTTATCTGGTGGACGGACAGATAGATTTCCCAGATATAGCAATGTGTATTGTTGCTAAACATGTCCGCTTTTGTCTGCTCTGTCCAAAGCACATTGCGTTGTGTGGTTTGTTTGGATGCAGGTTTGCAACTCTAAGCCACGCTGCCATTTTCTTTTTAGAGAGAAGATGCTTTGTCCTGGCAACTTTCCCAGACAAGCCATACTTATTTAGTCTTTTTTCAATTGTACCGTCACGAGCTGTAACATTTAACATGCAAACTGAAGCCTTCTAGAGCTTCTTGCTGTTTCTTCGAGCCCTGCACGGTCTGACCTTGGGATGAATTTGCAGGAACGTCCACTCCTGGGAAGGTTATAACTTTGTGTTAACATACATGTGAATGCCCCAAACCAGCAAACAGCCAGAGATTCTGTTTATATGGAGGTACATTTCACATTTGCTGATGGTCAGTTAATCAAGTCCATTCTGTTGGCAGTATTTGGCTGCTAGTTATTCTCTTAATTCCTATGGAAGAGTGATCTTAGATTTTCACAGACTACATAGTCCTGTGTAGTCTGTGAAAACTTTCTTTTTTTGATAACTGTACTTATTGTTCTGTAAGAATAGTAATAATACACACCTTCCTTCCCACGCAGTCCTTGGTTGAATTAGAAAGATGGTAGATAATGGACCAGCCCTTCAACAGTATTTGATGATGGTGATGATGATAAGAATCCCTCCTTGACTTTGAGAAGCAGCCTGTAATGTTACTGTATGTATCAAGAAGATGAGGTCAAAAATTGTATATGGACTGACTGAAATATGCTTATATGGGCCATAATAATATCATTCATCAGGAGTTTACATGTTAGCTGTGAGTCATAGCAACAAGAACTATCTTATGGTAAATCTGTATATGTGTGTTTTCACCCAGGTCCAAGCCACAGTAGTGGGGTTCCTGGCCTCCATAGCTGCTGTGATCTTTGGCTGGATCCCAGAGGGACACTTCAAGCTGGGCCATGCAGTGCTGTTGTGTGCCTCTAGTGTGGCCACCGCCTTCATCGCTTCTCTGCTGCTAGGTATGGTCACCAGTTGGGAAGTGAGGGGTGTTCACAGTGCTACTCATCAGTCACGTCGGGATTTTATGTAACTCTCAGTGCTAATTTGCCATCATTAGCAAGTCTTTTTCACTCAAGTGCTGTTTAAGCTCTTGATAGTTACAACTAGAAGAAGAAGAAGCTACATTTAGCGGCCTCTTTGTTCATAAGTGGTCACCACAGCAGGTAGCTCCACGAGTTTGATTTGACAGATTTCTTTAGTACCTGATGCCCTTCGTGGCACCACCGTAAGGCACATGTGCCTCCTTCTTGAACCTCAGCTCTTTATTTGATAGGCAAACGTGTGAACCACTCTATAGGGTGGCTATACAGTAGCTCAGCTTGTCATCTACTGATCAGAAGGTTGGCGGTTCGATCTGTGGCTCCTCCAGTCTGCATGCCAAGTATCTTTGGGCAAGATGCTAACCCCAAATTGCTCTCCGATGTGTTCATCGGAGTATGAATGGTAGTTAGGAAGCACTAAGAAACTTAGAAGACAATGCTGGTGTGAATGTGGCATGTTGTATACAGCGCTTTGAGTACTCCGGGAGAGTAGAAAAGCACTATATGAGAATCAGTCCATATACCATAGTTATCTACACAAAAAGGAGTTGATAAATAAGTTAACCTCATTTTGCTATCAGTTAGATAAGATGTCTTTAGTGTTAGCCCCTTTAGTAGTAGTTTATGGTACTTTTTTATGTTATTTTCTTTAATATGATGTGCCAAAAGTTCACAAAAAATATTGCCTTTGGCTAAGGTGTATAATATGGTACATGCATTAGTAAAGTGCAATGAAAACATGCTTTGCAAATAAATTGTGTGTAAATAAGCATCCACACACTCAAAAAAATGAAACGTTGACTTTAATTAAAATTATTTTGTCAACAGGTTCCACGAAATTGAATTATGTTAGTTTAAAGCAAAAATCTTTAGTTCATCTAATTTAAAAAAACTACTTAAGATTAACAAGACATATTTAAGACTAACTAAATCAAGTTATGTTGTATGAACATAGATGATATATTTTCAGGTTAGATAGTTTAGTTACTTCAACACATTTCTTATTTGTGGCAGTAAATGTTAAATTTAAGTTAGATTAATTCAAATATTATATTTTCAGCCACCTTGTGCTTTATTAATTAGTTTTACATAAATCTATTTTGTCAACAGGTTCCACACAAATGAATTAAGTACATCCAACTTATTTTTTAAAATTTATTTTATTGCCAACACATTCAGTGAGCATTTGTGTAAACCCAGTCCAAAATAAAACACAACAGCTCATTAGGGTTAGTAATTAACAGTATGTAGACAGATGCAACATCAAGACTTTAAATTAAATGTCTGTATCTACCAGAAATAGAAGAAAAAAAAAAAAAACACATTGAAGATCACATAACACATTGATAAGATGACACTTGAGTCAGGCACATGTGATGCTAGTAAGGTCTGTGAGTGTTTTTTTTCTTTTAGTGTCTAAAATGGATAGCAAAGTTGCTATTTGCAATGATTGCTTAGGGTCAGTCCAGTAACACAATGCCAATGAAGTGCTTTCCTTTAACAATGCAAAGTGAAGTGTCCACCTCAACAGCCACAATTTAAAAAAAAAAAAAATTATGTAACAACAACAACAACAACAACAACAACAACAACAACAATAATAATAAATAGTCCACTGATATTAGCAATCAAAGAAAATTACATCACCATCCCAAATAAAACTTTAACAAAACATGCCAAGATTATGGTCTAACAATAAAACAGCTTGTCAGCGTTCAGTTTTTTTGCAACAGCACAGCAGTAACCATTTAACACTTGCCACTGTCAACATTTATTTTACCAGTGTTTGGGCAAAAAACTTCAGATGTAAACATTTTAACATGGAAACAATTGTTCGTCTTTAAAAGTCCACAAAATATACATTCATCCTGCATTCCCAACTTGGATGATCTGATATCCTCGTGTTGGTGTTGTTCCCAGACCATCATGAAAATGTTGTTCCAGGTTCAACATTGCAAGTGACCAATCACATTGTTGTGACGTTATTCTATTCCAAGCCATTTGTGCATTTATGAAATTCCAATGTTGCAAGGACAATATCAATTCTGCTTACTGTTTATTAAAGGGTTAGGGTTAGGGTTAGGGTCAGTTGATCGGCGGACAGAGGCGGTTTCACGCAGCTTAAGTACAGTTTTTTGTTTTACGCTGGTTTTTCCCGAAGTCGCAAAAGTATGACGTCACAACATTCTGATTGGTCACTTGCAATGTTGATCCTGGAACAACATTTAGTATGATGATCTGGGAACAACACCAACACGGGATATCAGATCAACCTCCTAACTTACCCTTATTTTTAGTATGTATTGCAATTACCTTTACAATGCACACAATGTAACACAACTGAATATGAACATATTTCCACCTCATAACAATATGCCTTGAACGCTAATATACACACCACCCTTCAACATTTCTGGTGCAGTATCATCTCTCAATTAAATCCTTTAAATCTCAATACTTTTGATTGTCTCTTAGCTTTCAGTCTTGAGGTTAACTGAGATTCAGTGCATATATCCCACCCATTAAGAGTGCACATGCAGAGGCCAGGTCTTCCAGGTCATGCAGGACACACTAGATGGTTATACCCACATCGGCTGGAGGAGTGCTGGCATCAGCTCTTTCGATGGTAAAGATAGCAAGGGTAATTTGTTCCAGCTCCCTCTGAACAGCTGTAGCTTAGACACAAAAACATAGAAAAATAGCATCCAGTTTTAAAAAAGAAAGAAAAAGGGCCAAAGCTACCCTTTAATGACGTAAACACAATATTAGGAACATGCACCCCAGTGTGCCACTATTTCAGACTACAGATTCAACGATAAATATAAATAGTTTGGGTATACAAGAAGATTTCCCAAAACATTTAAACAGGTTCCATGCAAATTACAACAACAACAACAACACTACAACATGCAACAACATTAGTTATTCAAAATTAGTTTTTTATCTGTATTAAACCAAAACTAAAATTACCAACCAATTATTCTTTGAAGAGGATGCTTGGGTCTTCATTCAGGTAAAAAGGTAGTGCCCTGAGGACACACTCCCTCCCCTTTTCAATGGTTTCCTTCTGTAGAGAGTGGCAGAGATACAGGAAGAGAAAACAGATATACTTTAGGATGACAGAAACTCACATTATACGCAAAATGAATGACATAGCCACTGCACAGATAGACATGTACACAAGACCAACTAATCATCACATGGACATGAATAGTTAACCTGTTGGGAAGGGTTTCCACCACATTATATATGTCCATAATGGAGGTAAAGACAAACTAATACATCATCTTTTTTGCATTCAAAACATAACATAAAAACATTCACTTCTGGTTTAACCTAAATCAAGGGATCAGATTTTACATATGTTTAGGTAATTTAAATTTTCCAACGTTTTGAGTACCAAACTTTGTCTTGCTTAATATAAATGTAAGTGCACTGTGCAGCTACCATACACTAGCTGTTTAAATTTGAAAATGATCTTATTAGCCATAATATTTTGCTACCAACAGAATAACGCACCTGTGTGGCTGGGGCCAAAGTTTGTCTAATTTTCTTCCCTGCAACGCCTCCTTTTTTCTTGAAGACTTTTATGAGCTGGTCAGTGTATTGGTCAAGTTGTGTAAAAAGCCTTGGAACATGTGCAGCAGTAGTAATCCTCACATATTCTGCTTCCACCTGAAAATATGTCAACAAACACAACATACTGTACTGTAAATATACATACTATATGTACACATATACAAACTAAAACTAATGTAGAAAGACCTCATTAAAGCTATAATTTTAACACAAACATTTACACAAAATGCTAATGGAGCCATTACAGCTTTTATTGTTATTTATCAAGTTCCAAAAAATATTGATCACAGCTGATCTGAAAAGAATTTCATGCCTCAGGCCCTTGAACTGCAACCTTTACCATGGTTCAGATGTGGAGACGAAATAACAGGGGCATGGGATGGGTCACAAAGAAACTTAACTTATAAACAGTTTTGTTTTTAAAAGTATAACAGTTCACATACCACATACAAGCTCAGCAGTACCACATACACCACATCAGTATAGGAGGGAGCAGGTAAAGGCAGGATCTGAGATTTATAAAGAAAAAAAAATTAATTCCTTAATTTCAAGAAGCAAATTATTGTTTGAATTACAACTAAATAAAATACTACTCAGAAGAAAAGCAAGAGATTGACACTGCCATGTGCTAACTTTCTATAGAAGCAATTATCACCAGGTCTGTCGACCTCCATTGTCTGTCCACTCATATGTCTTGAATAATTTTATTAAAAAAATTAAGTGTGTACTTTCACAAACTGTAATTTATAACTACATTGATATGTATAACTCCGCTAGGAAACATGCTGTATTTACAGACCATTTTTACATAATACAGATTACTGATAGAGCAGAACAATGGTGTCACAGTGGCTTTCGCCCTTGACTTTTTGGATTTTAAATGTCACTTTATGCTATCCTTGCTATCCTATTCGATATTTCCGACTCTCGGATTACAGAAAAGGAATCCCAAGAAAGCAAATGGAAAAATAACCCTTGAAAGAATAACCCCATGAACCCCTGTAGCTAATCCCTTAATAAACAAAAAACAATAAAAATGTTTCTTACACAGTCCACAAATAAGCATGTCCAGGACCCAGTAAAACTAATGTAAAACAAGCACACGCAAACGATATAACATTTCTTGTAAGACAAACGCAAAATATAACCATGCTGGACATATAGATACTACACAACATAGTCAAAGAAAAAGTGGTCTTACCTCTCAAAGAAACAGCAGCTTGGCGCCAAAACAGCCTTTTTCAGTTAAATTTGAAGTCTTGCGCATGAGCAGGCACAAGCCGTGAAACCTTCTTGTTCTGCGCGGTTTCATTACAACTGTTTTTGCATTACTGCCACCTTGTGGATATACAAGGTATATCGATCCTCATTGACTTAACTTAAATGTTATGCGATCAAGTAACACATTAGTATTATGTACGTTGAATAATAGACACAATTACGTAGACTTGATTAGAAAAACATATGTTAACTTAACAAAAACATATATTTTAAGTAAAATGAAAATAAATAATTAATATACACTGAACAATCCACCTCATTCATTTTTTTGAGTGCAGAAGAAATAAGAATCTCTTATCTCTAATCAATGAAATGCCTTAAACTAAAATAAAACTAAAGTATTAGTTATCTGGATAATTCTAATAGATTGAACTGGTCAATGTTTTGCTGGCCTTTGTAGTATGTAGGATTAAATGTGTAATATTTGGATGTAGCTGCTATAATAGTCCCAACATGCTATCATGGCTCAGTGTGTTAGCATGCTATATGCAGATTAGTACTAAACACAAAGTGTGAAATGGAAAACATTTGAAAATTTTGGTGAGATCAACATTTAAGTGACAAACATGACAGTTCATCCTGAGGTATCTATACCCAGGTACATGGAAGTCGTATCCATATTTGTTATATCTGAACAAAAACCTTTAATATGTCCAACCTCATATGTCACCAGGGTTCATTCTGTGTGCACCACAAATCTCCATCTAGCAAATATAAGAGCATTTCAGTAAAACCCACAAACTTTAAAGTAGCACCAGCTGACAAGTTGGGTGATAGGTTTCGGTAGGTTTCTTACTCTGGGGACAGCGGATGTCAGTTGTTGTTGAGAACTTTCAGTCTGAACCACAGTGGTGGACTGATCACACATTCCTGGAACCACGCTGACAACATCAGATTGCTTTATAGGTGCAGTCGTCATGTTTTTACTGGCTTTCATCAGCTCAACAACTACGTTTGAGTGAAGCTGTTTTCGAAACTGTTTTTCAGACAAAACCATTTTTTGTTGCTGTTTTGTTTTTGCTATAAACCAACATGAGCTGTCTGTGGTTGCTGTAGGAAAGAACCTTAAACATTTTAGATATGCGGAAACATTGTGCTGGCTCTTACTCCCACATGCTGTTTGTAACCAGGCTTTGTATTTGCCAAAGTCAGTTCCTTTAAGGGAAATAAAAGAATCCCAATTGAGCAATCAAGCATCAAAATAACTCTTTTTGTTTTTTTAAGTGAGTACTGTTGGACAGTTAAGAGCATTGTTGCCTTCTGTGTTGTGATGCCTTTGATCTAAAATCTCACAGGTCTCATCATGATCGGCGTGATTGTTGCATCCAGAAAAGTCGGCATCAACCCTGACAATGTGGCCACGCCAATCGCTGCTAGCCTAGGAGATCTGATCACCCTGTCCCTGCTGGCAGGCATCTCAACAGGACTCTACAAAGAGCTAGGTAACGGAAATGACGAGCATACCCACAGATCTTTTTGCTTTTTCCATTTGAAAACAGGTGTGCGATCCATTATTTTACCTGGATGTGCTCAATTAGGTGGTTTGAATAGTGGATACTTGCCGTCTCAAATTCTCGCATGTCTTAAACTGAGCCTCTGATTCGCAACTGAAGGTAACTCCCAAATTCCGACAGAATCATTTCAACATTATTTTGATAGTTGGTAGATCCATCAAACAGCTTCCAGAGTCTTCTTTACCTTTGAAGTTATTAAAGAAAAGGGAGCGGCATGAGTAGAATGTATGAAATGTTGCTCTGCTTTTGGTAAATAAGGATGAAAGCCGCCCACACCTACTCTCGCTGTGTTCCGGGGCAAGAAACTCCACAGCTGTGTGGCTGTATTGTTAGCGCTGTGATAGCATCTTCACCGGCAGCACACCCAGCTCCATCGAGCTCCCTGCTGTTCCATCATTTGCACACCACAGACAGTGACAAACACTGACACGCAGAGTGTGGAGTAATCCTGTAGCTCTTTAGTCTGTCAGAGAATCTACAGACTTTATAGTCTTACTCACTGCTGCTTGTTGAGCTTATTTGGGATATTTTGGCTTAGACACTCACAAACACGGCTGGTGTCTGGGTGTTGTAACCAGCCCGTGTACTTAATGTGCTGTTTGTGGTGCTTTGTAATCTCCTGCATTTGTTAGTCAAGCTGCAGTACTGCCTTCTGCAGGAAAGGCCATGATTTAACGGCAATCCAAATGAAAACAGTCAAAATTTGCCAGTGTGTGATTTATGTTGCGTTTCAGTCACGTCCAAGGTGGTTTTTTTATAGAATTCTCAGAAAATGAAAAAATGAAAAATTTGTTATGTCAAAATATGACAAAGATGTTCCTGCTAAAGCATCAATATCTTTTTTTCCCCCCATTCAGAGTACAATGATTATGCCAACCCTCTAGTGTGTGCAGTTTTTGTGGCGATGTGCCCACTATGGGTGCTGATAGCCAGGAAGATCCCATCCACCAGAGAGGTCCTTTACTGCGGCTGGGAGCCAGTCATCATCGCCATGGCCATCAGCAGGTAGGATGTGCTTGCTTATGTGGATTTTTAACTCACAGTGCTGCCTTTGTTTTTCTCAGTTACTATTGCTGTATTCACTGATGATGTCACAGAGCCTACCAACAACCTAGGCTCCACACCATCCTAGACCCCGATCCTCAGAACAGGAGAAAACCCAATGAGGCATCTTTTTGCACACGCAGGAGTCTCCCCCTGCTGGCCATGAGGAAGCCTCTAGTTAGGGTGCTTAGGTTTTCTTTTCAGGCTCAGGGCTGAATCCATCAGAATATATTAAATTAATAAATAAAACTTTAAATATGTTTTTGAGTACATTTACAGTCAGTTTTATTTATACAGTGCTAAATCACAACGAGGGTTTCCTCAAGATTCCTCCAATGTGTTCCACGGGATAACGGATTATAATGTATACGAGATTACAGATGGGTCCTTAAGTGTTTTAAATGTCTGATTGTAGTTCTCTCTTCTCAGTTTACCCATGTTTTTGTATGGTAAATAGCAGTATGTTCACTTTTTGTTCACTTTTTTGCTTGTGTGTGTCTTTCAGTGTCGGTGGTCTGATCCTCGACAAAACTGTCACCAACCCAAACTTTGCTGGCATGGCTGTCTTCACTCCAGTCATCAATGGTGAGCAGTCAGAGAACAAAAGTGTACAAAAGAGGTGGAAATAACAACCCTCAATATGCCAACTAGTAAAACAACAAATGCAGAGAAATCTGTTGGAACCAATTAAATTGTGTATTTAGAGCTGTTGCTGTGCTCACCCATCTGTGTCATGTAACAGTGACACACTGACTAATGCCTGCCAGAGGAAGCATATGTGCACTGCTGTAATACTAACCGATGGAGCTGGCATGGCGCCGTGCTCTTGCACGGCTAAAGGCCAGCTCCACAATACTCGACTGGAGAAATGTTTTTGTTAGTACTGAGGTTGATTTGTCATGTTTTCATGTGCCAGGTGTGGGAGGTAACCTGGTAGCAGTTCAGGCAAGTCGAATCTCCACCTATCTACACATGAACGGTATACCCATGGGGGATCCCAACCCAGCCCCCAGGAAGTGTCCCACACCCTGCACTTCCTTCTTTGGTTCCAGTAAGTTATCAGGCAGCAGTGGAATAAATGTTCCACTGTCCCCGCCCACTCTTTATCTCATACAAACAGTTTTTTCCATACGGAGAGTGTATTACAAGTGAGACTACTGGCTATATTGAGCTTAAAGTGTTTTCTGTGTGATAAGAGCCACTCTTTTTTACATTATGCTGACAATGTAACCTGGGCGGGAGCAGGCTATACGCAGAGTTTAGTTTAAAGTCAGGTGGAGGTGCTGCGATTTTACTGATTCTTTTATTTGCAGCGTATTTTAAAAGCAATACTGATTCTTTGTTGGGGAAGTGTAGAAGTTGTTAAGCCCTACCTTAGTAAAAATCACTGAATGAAGTGCAAACCGTGTGTTGCATTGTCACAGGAATGTGCATGTATTCATTTGGTTATAGAGAAAATATATAAAATGATTTTAGATTTTATTCTAATGTGCGGTTAAGTCTTATTTACACCGCTGGAATTGCAGCTACTAAAATAGAAAACACACACCAGGAATCAATCAATCAATAACATTATTTCACTTTCATCTGCTCACACACTAAAGTAATCTTTAATCTTTAAATGGGTCCAGTTTAAAGTTTCACAGGTCTATCCGCTCAGAAATAACCAGCAGCACAGACAGTGCAGTCAGCCATAAAACAATTGTTAATCATCAGTTTAACATTTATCTGCAGCAATGACTTCATAGATTTTACTAGATCTTACTCATGTAGGTGGCACTCATGGGGATATTTGTGCAAAACAAGAGTAAAACCTGTAAAATGCATGTTTTCATATGGACACACACGGAGCTTGAAGCAGAAAACCCGGCTTAACAGAGACAGCTGATTACCACTGTTGTGATACCCGTCATCTACAACTTGGGCTCGAGGTTTTATCAAGCCAGCAAATACAAAGAAATCCTAACTGTGTTGGACTTCTTCATAGTTTATCCTTCAAGCCAGCTCGTGCAGGGCCCAGTTTGATGTTACTATTTGATATCAGGAAATCCATTAAATAATTATAATGAGGTGCATCATGACTGCAATTAAACAACAATGAGTTTAAAAATACTGCAGACATAAAATGACCACCAAAAAATTTTAAGTAACTTAAAGTCAAAATAATGACAACAAAGAGGCAAAACAGAGGAAAGGTCGAAAAAACCCACAAAGCAACAACAGACAAAGTGAGAAAGCACGAACAGCGAGACAAAATAACTACAAACATTTAACAAACAAAGAAAACGGCAAAGCCTCAACAAAGGGAAAACAACCACGAAGTCACAAATTGACAACAGAGACAGAAAACAACAACAGAGACAAAACAACCACAACAGTGTGTCAAAGAACCATTAAAAGACAAACCAACTATGAAAAACAAAACTATTTTAAAGAATTTCAAAGAAAACAAGTACAAAAATAACCTTAATGACACAGCCTTGTTGGCATGTCCTGTTCCTGCTTCACAGGAGAGTCTTTTCCAGTGTTGTCCAGCGTTTTCCATCATGCTATCGCCTCGTATGTAACTCATGTTCGTCTCTTTCCATTCCAGCTGTGAACTCCCGTTCAGCCCGTGTACTTTTCCTGCTGGTTGCCCCAGGGCACCTCGTCTTCCTCTACACCATCAACTCCCTGAGGGGGGGACACACCACCCTCACACCCATCTTCATTACCTTCTACCTGTTTGCTGCACTACTGCAGGTACAGATATGTTTGTACATCATTTTACAACATTGTAAGGGTGTCGTTGAGGAATTCCGAAATATTGATACTTGCGTCTTGGTTATGACATACAAATATTATGTAAAAATCATTGTTCACTAAATCTGGCTATGCTTTCTTCAGGTCATGATCCTCCTCTACCTGGCAGACTGGATGGTCCACTGGATGTGGGGTCGGGGCATGGACCCTGACAACTTTTCCATCCCGTACCTGACCGCCCTGGGTGACCTGCTGGGGACTGGCTTCCTAGCCCTGTGCTTCCACTTGCGCTGGTTCATCGGGGACAGAGACACTAACGTGGGCAACTGAATGCATGCACAGATACACACACACACACACACACACACACACACACACACACACACACACACACACACACACACACACACACATAAAAACAACTTAAATCCTTACTGTATCCTTGCACGCTCGAGCAGTGACGAACATCACTCGCATTGTCTGAACACTGAAACTGGACATCTACAACGAAAGGGCTAAACTCCTGTCAGGCTCTGACTGACGGTGCATATAGTGCACGTAGCATTTCATCTTCAGGATATCAGGACACTGTTGCTCAGCAGCAGCCCACAAATCCACCTTAGAGAAAATGGAATGTCTTCACCTCAACCACGCAACAAAACCCCACCAGTGATGGATTCATTACTCCACCGTTATTTTACTTAATGAGTCCTGCCACTTTTGTTATCATACCATTGACAATGATTGTTATTGTTCAAAAAGATGCATTTGATAGCTGATATATGAATGGATATTTGTTCTATGTGCACGGCCAGTCCTCATTATTTTCAATGGGAACATTCGCCGTCTTGTTTTTAAAAACATTTAACACTTGAAACCTTGACAGAAAAAAGACAGCAAAAAGAAAAAACATCCAAACAAGCCTAGAATGCATAATCACCAAGTGCTACTTCACGTATATAGAATGATAATTATATGAGATCTAATGGAAAATCTGATTTACTAGAACCTATAGGACTGTCCTCCTAGTAGGGAGCTCTTTTAGGGGGTTTCACTATAGGAGACTGGACCACCAACTAGCTAAATCCCTTTTTAACATTGTTTCCATGGGTGGATGGCTTCATTTGAGTCAGGGTATGAAAATGAAGATGTGAGGCTTTGTTTTCCGTAGCTGCTCACGCCCATTTCTGGCATTTAAAATAAGGACTACCAGACCTGAGGGGAGTCCAGCACTTCAGACAGTCACTATAACAATGGACTCGTCTCTTAGTTTTAACATGATGTGTTGGAAATCACATAATTAGTTTATTTAGCCGTGCTGTCCTCACAGGTTACACTGCTTCCATTGTTGGCCAACTGTGCTCATAAAACATCCTTATTCACAGAAAAAACAAGCAAATACACTTAAGAAAAAATAAATATGTGTGTAATGGCTGTGTGACTGTCAGTCAGGAGTGTATCAAAACTCGACTCCCTCTGAGCTTGAGCTCCACTTGTGGTGCCAAGAAGTCAGCAAAGGTCGAACTGTACCCTGAGCGGTTCCAGGTGAGAACAGCACCAGTGCCCCTGTATGTAAGCTTCTGCCAACTTTCTACTGAACAAACAAAACGGTTGTTGCTGTGTATCCCAAGCCAGGCTTTCAGTAAGTGACAAGAGGCTCAACACGCTGTAGTGCACTGGAACAAGCCTGCAGAGTTGGGACAGAGTCTGAAAGTGTGTTAAGTTGTCTTAGCCAGGCCGCCAGGTTATGCTGACTCGTGTTCAGTCTGGCACCAGATGAAAGGTAATGATGGCAGATATTTTGTGTGAATATTTGGCCGTACTAAATGTTTGGTTCCCACAGAGCAATTAGGCCACGTTAGGGTAGTGAATTAAGAGACAGCTCAAGGAACTGCGTCAGGTCATAGGAGGATATGGGGAAGAATTTTAGTCAATTCAGATTCATGCAAATGTCAACATAATTTTCCAAATTCTTTGTAATTCTAAATTCGTCTGCCTGAAAACCCGGTGAGACTACACAATGAAGTCCCACATGTAGCAGTTAAATCTCCTGCAGAATTGCAATAATCAGGTGCAGCAAATTTGAGTTCTAACCCTTGACCCAGATAGAGTCATAGCTCACTAACCAGCAATAACCCTCTGCTACTATAAATTGCTGAATAAAAATGTGGTTTGGAGATTTCTGTAGTATAGAATAGTAACAGTAGAACTGGTTTTGTACACTGATACGGCCATTGTGGAGTTTCCTGTGCTCCTTGTTCTTGGGCAAATTTCACCAGGAGACCTGGTTTTGTCCTTCCATTGAAATACATGCATACAGTTAGGTTAATACCCCCCGAGAAAAAAAAAAAGAGTAATTCAAGACAAAAAAAAAAGAGTTTAACACTACAATAAGTTAATTAATTAACTTATTGTCATGATGCTAAAAGTTCACTAAGCCATCTAAGCTGTCAGTTAGCAATTGTTAGCTTAGTTTAAAAGAAAGAAAGTTCAGATTCTTTCAGACTCTCAAAAGCTTCCTATGTCAGTAATAAGTGACAGGAAATGATGGAAAGAGACCGTGGATGACATGTGAGGTCATAAGGCTGCATGTATGTACACTAACCTTAACCCCATCTCTGGGAACTTTTACCCCTTTCCAAGAACCTGTTTACTTACTGTCAGGAATTATGTTTATTACTATTAGTTATTAGTATATAGGACAGAGTCACAAAGCAGATAGCTGTTTTATGAAAGTATAGCTTGTAGCTTTCCTACAAATATAGGATTTGGGTATGAAATCACATTGCCAATAGGAAACTGCTTTTTAACAAATCCCAGAACGTTGATTCTGTTGATCTGGACGTAGTGTTTTCAGATCAACGGCGACTTCTTCAGCCTCAGCTGACTGCAGGTTTCTCCGGTCTTGTAAACAGTATATTTGCACTGACTAACTCCTTTGTAACATAGTAGCTCTGTTTCTTTTGATTTGACTGCATTGGTTTGCAAAATGCCAAACTCTTCCACCTTTTTTTTCTCGAGTACAGACTAATGTTACCATTCTACTGCTTGGTGTGATTGAGCACCGAGGCAGAATTCATTATTAGTTGTTACTTTTCCCCAGTTATGCCAAAGTGTGTATTTTCCCTTTTGTTTTTGAAATGATGTCTGATAATAAGGGAGGGAAGTGTTTCATAGGAGTAACTGAATACTATTTAACCACATTTTAATCATCATTGACATAATGAGATAACTTTAGCGTGTGCCCCACATCCACACAACTGATCTGCCATCAGCTAACTCTGTATTCAAGGGCTCGCAGGTGAGGAGGAGAATGAAACGGGAAGTGGTGAGCCATGTTGACAGACTGTATCGAGTGCCGGTGTCAGTCCAGGAGAAACCTGCATGTGATGCTTGACTTAACTGTTTCCAAAGGGGGCCAGCAGAATGCATGTGCAGGGAACATGGTGTGAATGTGCAAAACTTGATTATTGTATCTGTTTAAAATCTTTGATCTCATGATGTTTTTTAAAGTGTCAATTATGTTAAAATTGTGATTTTTTTTTCTTTGTTTTCCTTTAATTCTTTGCCTCCTTTCTTCTTAACGCTTCATCATTATAGTTTTTTGTCATGAATTTGATCAAACAACCACTGTAAACACTGTCTCCAAGCTGGTCAAATGCAACATTGTACTGTAATCTGCAAAACCGCCTCCAGAGGGCACTGCAGGGATTCTCCTAACTGTACATCTCCTGTGTGTGTCCTCTGGATTCACATCCTCAGCTGGAGTGACATCATTGGTTTTGTCTGCTTTTCTACAGTATTTAACTTGTAAGAGTTGCACCCCTCCACTCAGTCTGTACCCTCCACTCTCTTACTGACCAGGTGCCAGCATTCTGCCTCGACGTCAATGGAAAGTTGTGAATACTTCAAAAATGGGGCATGTAATGCTTTATTTATTTTTAGAAACACACAAAGCAAATTGTACATACTATATTTATTCTATATATAAGGTTGTTTATTTTTAATTTTGGCTCAGTATCACGGTCACCATGTCTTCGTTCTATTCTTTGCTGAAGGCCAGTAGAGCTTTTTTGCACTCTCTGCGATAGAATTGCAGTGAGGCTAATGACTAGCACAGTGCCTAATATCTGTCCTTACACACCTCACACACACGCTCACGCGCCCTATCTCGCGCAGGGAAAGCATACTTATGAGACATAGAATGGCCTTAACCTATCAGAGCCAAGCTCTATTCAGAATAACTAATCAGGAACTAGGTTCACCACAGAGTAGTGTCTGTTTATTTAGCTCTGATTTTGAAAAACAAAAAAACAACTGTACAATATGTTGATTATGTGTAATGTAATAATGATTTTATATGACGCTGCAGTGGAGATCAGTTCTTGTTCAGTTCGGAAGCTGGTAGACCCCCCAGCAAGTTGCTTTACACGGCATCTGGGAAGTCTGGGATTAGAAATAAAGAGTCCAACACACCTAAAGAAAACACAGAGTTCTCTGGTTCTTTGTCTTCTTATGAATCCAGATGTATCCTTCCCTCTATCTTACATATCCAGCCTTTAAAACCCCCCACCCACCTGCTGCCTTGTTAACCTCAGTGCTTCGAATTGTTGAACCCCTGAACTCACAGGGAACCACGCTGACCCCCAGACTGCCATCGCTGACTTTAAATATCAGCTTTTGACACTTAATGTCAAAATTATTTTAAACACATGGACAGTCTTACTGGGTCTGAGGTCTTTGTGTTCTCTGTGTGTTCCTTTTGTAAAAGCCTCCCTCTGTGAGGCAGGAGGAAGGCTTTCTTCCTGCAGGTCTTTGTAAATTGCTGGAAATAAATAAACTATATTATTTCATACCATCCGTGTGTGTGTGTGTGTGTGTGTGTGTGTGTGTGTGTGTGTGTGTGTGTGTGTGTGTGTGTGTGTGTGTGTGTGTGTGTGTGTGTGTGCGCGCGCGCGTTTTTGCCCAATTCATTGTCAATATAATGGTTGCTAAACTTGGCCAAAGATCTATTTAAATTGCATAATTTTATTTTACACACTGATGTGTATCTTTATATTTTTAGCAGTTATTAATATTGCAGCATATCATTTAGTACAGTTAATTAGCCATCGAGGAACATGCATTTATTTTATACTTGCTTCAGGAGGTATTCAGACCTCCTACATCTCTCCAATTTTTGCAGACATTTGTTTTGAAACGGCTAAAACTGACATTTTTCCACATTAATCCAAACTACACTGCCTACAATGATAATGTTACACAGTTCTCCTTAACAAAAACATTTAGACTCTTTGCTGCAGTAAATTGTGGTGCTATATTTACTCTTGATCTGTTATTAGAACTGGACTGATTGGACAGTGTAGAATGAAGCTCTTTTATATAGAAGAAGAAGAATTTACAAAACCTAAGCCATAAAGACCAATGATGTCTGCAGGTGCTATCCATAAAACTGTGACAAATCACACATCAGATCAGGCTCTCAAATGTTTCTAAAGCTTTCAGCGTACCAGGAAGCACAGTTCATCAATAATTGTGAACAGTAATTGTGTTTAAACCAACAGTACTCGCGCTTTGCCTGAAACGTAACTAAGCAAGTAGGGAAGCGACCACAGAGAGTTAAGATGACTCTAACAGACATTTAGAAGTTCTCTGCAGTGTCCGGAGAACATGCCATCTCAGCTGCACTACATTGCTTTGAGCTTTACCTTGAGGTAAGAGGCTGCCTGACAGCTCTCTGGTAGTTTGGCAAGCAGCATTTAAAACATCTGGAAGTCTGTTGGTGCATAAACTCTTTAGCCATAACTTCAAGCATTATTTCTGTCCAGCTGCTACCTAAAACATCTGAACAATGACACACGGCATCACGTGATGATGGTACTTCCTAGCAGCACATATGAGGAGGCTGATCAGATGTAAACGGTGAATGAAGGCTGCCAAATAGAGGGATGTTCTTTGAATAACACCTCGTGTGTGCTGACACAACCTGAGATATGACCTGATATTCTCCGACTATCCTCAAATCATCCAAATAAAGCTTAGACTCAAAGCGGATACATTAGAAGAGACACAAGGATAGCAGTGCAGTTTAATGGGGGTTTTCAGTGTTATCTGATTAGAATGAAACCTGGAAAACATTAGCTTTTCAAAAAATAAAGGTATTTGGATATATTTTAACACAACTTAATGAGACAATAATTACACAAGAATCACTGAAGTACAATATATTCCACCAAACGTGTCTAGTAGACGTTTGCTATACTAGTAAATGAAAGCTGGATGAACTGGTCTCTTTGAAGAGTCTCTTGGATGTGCTTTTCTTTTCAGCTTGAGTGTGTTTCAGATCAGATGGCCTTGGAATTTCTGTCTTCACAGAAATGGAAGAAAAGTCCAGTAAAAACAAATAATCATTCAACCTAAACAGATGCGGAATAAAACACTAGCAGACTAAATTACATAAATTATTCCATTATTAAATACTTTAAAAATTACATGGTGCAAACAAGCTAATCATGCAATACAGCACATGTGTTACAGCTGACTCAGCAGGATATCAAACTGCTAGTTTGATATCCTGAGGGTAGAAGCAGGAGTTTCTCTCTGTCTCTCCTCCTCCTCCGTCATCCTTTCTCCTCCATCTTTGAGCAGTTGTGGATCAGTGGACGGAGAGAGAATCAGCGACCTGCAGGATCTGGGACGGTCCCGGAGAAAGGGGAATAAAAGCTATTGAAAAAGTAACAAAAATGAAGAAATAAGAGCATTTGGATAAAACTGGATAGCTCAGAGCAGACGCACCAGCTCCACCCCTGCTGCACACATCCAAAGTATCCATCACCATCTTCCCCAGCCCCCTGCTGGACATGTTCTAGAAGAAAAAACAAACGTTTTCACTCATTGTAAGACTACTGCTAAGCCAAAACAGCATGATGTCATACCAGTGCTTAGCACAGTATACTGGCACATTGATTACACCCTGGTCTGAATCACTTAAATGTTAAGTAATCACAGATTCCTGATTTTTTTGTGTGTAATTTTAAACAGAATAAACACGAGTTAATGACAGGCTCGTTTTGTTGGGGTGGAAGCGTAGTAATGTTATATATGAGGTCCAAAATCCTACTTCAAATGAACTTAATTACACAGTGAATATAATATTTATATATAAACTATTATATACATTTTTATGAGCAGCACCTCTGTCAGCAGAGGCTTTTTAACGCATCACAAATACACATGTAAAATGTAAGCAACAGAAAATGAAATGGAGGAACCACTAGATGGCGCTGATGAGGTGTAACAATGCACGAATACCTTGTTACGTAGCTGCAGCAGCAACGCGAGCGAATCAGTGAGTTTGCCCTCCAACAAAGACAGACGTGTTTTCGCATTTTCCTCTTGTGTCCTCTCCTCCTCTTCCTCAGGACTCTAGTGAACACGAAATGCATGCGCCCATTACAATCCTGTTCAAACTGGGTGGGTTTAAAAACAAAAAAAGCTCAGTGCTTCCAGGTGCATTTTTTTATAAGCTAAAGACCTCAAAGTCAGAGGATCCTCTATGAGCAGCACTTGGCGACAGTGAGAATTAAAAAGTCCCTTTTAAGAGGAAGAGACATCCAGGCTCAAGGAGCTAGATGAGTATGAGCCAGCTGAAAAGGATGTGTCAGGACATTCAAGACTTATATTGATAAGAAGATATTCTCCAACATTAAAGTGTATTTATAGCAACAACAACAAAAAATCTAGAAACGCAAATGTCAAAAATTATGATTTATAAGAAAAAACGGTGGAAAAGACAATCTTTTGTTAATACATTTCTGACACTTTATATGTCAAACTGACAAAAAGCAAGAGCATCTTTTCCTCACCGCTTGTTTAAAGCCTCCCTGCGGCCGCTCTTGGTTTGGTCCTTTCTGACAGAAGTGCCCCCTGTTGTCTTTAGAAGTGCTGCTGAAACTGAAAATTTCAAATTTTCAATTTTGATTCATCATTTAATAAAAGTTGTTTACAATAATTTTCAGTCCAGTTCTTGTGTAACCTGGCATACTTCAGCCTTTTCTCCCTCTTTCTCTTCCTTAAGAAAGGCTTCTTGAAACCCACCCTACCACTTAGACCACTGGAGATGCTTCAGCAAAAAGCAGATGGATGAGCTGAAGGACCAGATGCATACATGGATGGATTTTTTCCTATTCCTCAAGAATATGTTCAGAGACTGTTCATCTGCTCTAGGTTTGTAGGCTTCCCACCTCTTCGTTTGCCCTCTACTTCTCCAGTTTTCTCAGTTTTTTAAGGACCCAATGCACACCACACTGAGATATCCAAAGTTTAATCCAGCCAAAGAAACAGGCTGTGGAGGAGCAGCTCACCTACTTATGGGAATGTTTGTGGTTCAATCCCTATCTGCTCCAGTCTGCATGTTAACTATCTTTTGGCAAGTTACTACCCCCAAGCTGCTCTCCGATGCATCCATCAGAGCATGAATGTGTGTGAATGTTTGATAAAAAGCACTTGCATAGGAAAAAGTGCTTGTGTGAACCAGTCCATTTACCATTAGTGTTGTCTGTGTAGAGAGTGAATGTTAAGATATGTGTTTGAGCTTATTGGTGCAAAGTAAAAAGTACACATCTTTGGTGACTTCGGTTGCCTAACCCTAAACATAAACCAATCATTTTTGTGTCGTGAAAACTGTTTTTTGAATTCTTCAACAGTAGAACAGATGTGAGAAAGCCAGCTGTATTTTGTTTTTGCTATCAATTTGTCAGATTAACATTAGAGAAAATGCCAAGTATGAACACAAGATGTTAGCTAACCCTTTGCTACAGCCGTGCATTCGTCCAATGTGCCTCTTCACCTCCATCAGGCAGCACTGTTCTTCCTCTCTCATCCTACTGTCCTCCTCCTCTTCATCAGATGCAGCTCTTCCCTCCACTGCCCTCTGTAGACACTCAGCATCTGCAGACAGAGCAACTGCATAGTTCAGTCATCAAAGACAGCTTAGGGCCCAAGACTGCAGAATACTGACGATTTCTCTTCTGTGGCAACTGTTAAAGGAATAAGGTTTTGGTTTCTTTGTGACCGGTTTCACATAGCGACAGCAAACAACCTCCCACAATTACAGAATACATACTTTTCCATAGCGACCAGTGATGTCCATAGAGTTACTGAGCAGTCTCTAGGCCTGTTTAAGTGGAGCCTCAATAAGACCACACTAACACTCTCATACTGATCTGTGTTTTTTCAGTTACTCACCTGTTTTGCTGCAAGTGTCTTCGGGGTGGTTCTGTTGACTTCCAGGGCTGAGGACACACGTGCAGCTGGTTCTGAGGGTGGTAAAAGGCAGAGGCCATACCTTAAATGCCTTTTTAAGGTAAATGTTTTTTTGTTTTGTTTTTACCAATTACATTTCAAATTTAATAGCATAGCAATAACTAAGTGATGCATGTACCATAATAATCAGAACTGTCCATTTTATTGCTATGCTCAGGTTTTGCATAACTAAGTTAAGTTGCTTATTAAATGTTATTTTCTAGGGGTTGCGTAAGGTCTCCTAGACACAAACTTGTGTGCAGCTTAACCTGGGCACCCTGTGGCATCAAGTTTCAAATCAGCAGAGTACACAAGCAAATGATGTGTAAATAGATGCACAAACACACCCATGTACTGAATTCCTTCACCTGCTCATGACCACACATGGTACCTGTATCTGTGCAGCTCAGTCTCAAGCTGGGTGATCCTGGACTGGAGTTGGGGCACAGACCGGGCCTGCTCCTGGATCAGCCGAACCTGCTGCAGCCCCGAGCTCAGAGCCTCCCTGGCCTCCTCTGCCCGCTTCCTGATGGAGATCACCAAAGATCATCTCACTAGTCTCCTACATCCACTCAAATATCATCCAGCAAGCTTTTAAAAACCTTCCACTGATGAATAGTAACTCCAACCTGATCTGAGTGTTCTCCTTCCTCAGTGCAGCCTCCACCCCCTGCAACTTGCGCACCTCCTGGTACGCCCACTGCAGCTCCTCCTCCAGATGCTTATTGAATCTGATGGCCTCCTCCAGCTGCCCATCACGTGAGGAGCGGATCAGCTTCAGCTCCCTTAGAAGTGGGTCTCTGATATCTCGTTTCCTTGCCACTCTCCTTGCTGAGTCTCCTGCAGCACTGCTTAACTGTCCTTTAATTCTTTGAGTTGGAACTAGTTTTCCCTGGATAAATGTGATGGAAGTCTTAGGCTTTGAAACCGTAGGGTTGTAGCAGGATGCAGAAGGGAGGGTGCTGCTCCTCTCCTGTCGGAGCGCCACCTCCAGGGCCAGGCAGCGGGCATCGCTCCCCTGCAGCGCTGAGCGGAGGTCCTCCACCAGCTCCCTTAGAGCTGCCACCTCATCTGGAGAAGAAGAAAGAGGAACAAGTGAAGTGAAACCAGATCATGTGCATAATAATATATCCATAGTTTTACATTAATAACCTTTATAGGTGAACTTTAAAAGTGAAATGCGTGTATTTTCATTTTATTTTCATTTTATTTCATTTTATTTCATTTTATTTTATTTTATTTTATTTTATTATTTTATTTATTTTATTTCATTTTGGGTGATCGTGGCTCAAGAGTTGGGAGTTCGCCTTGCAATCGGAAGGTTGCCGGTTTGAGCCCGGCTTGGACAGTCTCGGTTGTTGTGTCCTTGGGCAAGACACTTCACCTGTTGCCTACTGGTGGTGGTCAGAGGGCCCAGTGGTGCCAGTGTCCGGCAGCCTCGCCTCTGCCAGTGCGCCCCAGGGTGGCTGTGGCTACAATGTAGCTGCCATCACCAGTGTGTGAATGTGTGGATGACTGGATATGTAAAGCGCTTTGGGGTCCTTAGGGACTAGAAAAGCGCTATATAAATACAGGCCATTTACCATTTATTCTGCTGCATATTTCTTTTCATTAGATTTCAGTGATTTTACTTTTTACTCCACTATACCTGTCTGGCAAAAACGCTAAATATGTAGAAGATTTTAAATGAAGATATAAACATGATAACTATTAAGACAGATTCTCTTCATCCTTTTAGATACTCAGCATCTAGTTTGAGCTGCTTGTCATGTTTTATATGCCGATAAGTGGATGACAGTTCTACTAAACTACTACTGAATTTCCCGGAGAAACCCACCCGAGGGATTAATAAAGTTTCATCTAATCTAATCTAAACTTCTCTCATAATTTCATTTTTATAACAGTTTGAGACACAAAGAAGCTGAATGTTCCAAAACTTTATCAAAAACATAAAGAGAAGAATGAAAAAAACATCCCAATGGATAAATGCTTTCTTCTTATCTACAACAGTGATGACATCTTCTGTCTTGTGGAGCCAGTACCTCAGATTAAGAACAGATTACAGAACATAAACCATGTCTCCTACGCTAACTAAAGCCTGATTTATAATATGAACATTGTAATAATGTTACAGAGTTTTTGTGTGCAAGGTGACAATTAAGATCAGTGGAGGAAACCCTGAATGAAGCTGCAAATTAAACTTTCTTTAGTAAAACATATAAAAAGATAACAATTTTAAAACGCTTGTGCCCAAAAGCCCAGTTTGCCCGCCGCCATGACAGCTGTTACCGGGCTCTTCTAGATGTCAAGTCTAAATAAGAGTCTTTGATAGTGTAATAATACATTTTGTATTAGCCTGGGATTATGCTGCACTAACAATTGGTATATGAAGTAGTGATATTATAGTGTTTGGTTGTATATAATTATAAGGTCATCCTGCACAATTTAATAAAGGTGAGACAGCAGAGCACATTCTAAACAGGGATTTGAAATGTTCTGGCTTCCATCATCGAGCTATTAAAATGCACATATAAGACAGACCTCCTTCTCCAGTACCTGGTTCACGGTGCTCTGAGGTCCGATCTTTCACAGATGTGTTGACTGATCCATTCTGGTCCTTTGTCAGATCAAAACTGACACACTTTCTCCGCCTAACTCGCGGCCACCGAAGCCGGATCTGTTTCTCTACCAGCTCTGTATCCTCGCTAACGGGCAGACGCAAGGCACACTCCCCGGTACCTCTACGCGCACTGCGCACACGGAAATACCCACAGAGCCGTGAGTGAAATTCTTTGAAAGAGAGCTGGCTGGGAAGCCCAGAGCATATATCTCTAAACTCTTCATCTTCCTCTTCTCGTTCTCCAGCTCCCGCTGTTTCCTTTACGGTCGCAGTTTTCTTTCCTACCTCAGCTCTGTTCAGTCCCAGAACGGCACAGAGCGCAGTGAAATCTTTCGCCGACACAGTATCGTCCCGGCTGGGGAAGGCCAGGTGGTGGAAGACTTCTTGCAGATATTGGTCTATTCCAGTGGCCAAAACAACGATTTCGTTCTCCACTCCAGGATCGGAGCAGTGGTGATGTGCCAGGGCGCTCCGGAGCCACTCGCTTTTACGCGCTGCACGCGGTGAGGGCTGTACGCGCTGCATGGCCGGTGAAGTGCACATAAATTAAAAGATATTATCAAACGGAAGCAGACTGGAGAAATTAGCACTGGATGAGATCTAAAAACGTGTGAGGCTAAGACGATTTACGGGTTGGTGTGCCCCTGCGCATTTCCCTGAAAACCCTCACTTTACATTCCTCACAGCGACGCATCAAGTCAAGATCTGATCCCCGCCGGTGTTGTGCTAAAAAGTGATTGTCTGCCAGAAACTGATTGCCGTCCGCGGGAGCGCGCGCAGCTGCTTAAAGCTGCAGCGCCCGGATTACTTGCGTTGCCAGCTACTTCCGTGCAACTGATATAACGTGGGGGGAAAAACCCAAACACATTTATGCCTTTGTTATTAGGCAAAGGTATGCATTTATGGAGCTTTAACGTTTCTTGAAACCGAATTATGACGCTATCAGAAGGTTGCTTTCAGTGTGTAGCGCAGTCACGAATGACTACACGCATCACGATGGAATAATTAATGCCTACAGGTTTAGTATGTCTACTCTCGTTGTTCATATTTGTTATAAGACTGTCGAATAGTAGTTAAAACAATAAAGACCTATTGTGCCAGTATCACCATGACTCTTTCTTGTTTGTGCAGAATAACGACTGAGAACATGGCATTTTAGCGCTACCAAAAAGTGATTGTGGCCTATAACTTGTCACTGAAACAATATTTCTGCTTCAAACTTGTTGGATATATTCCAGAAGGGTTACATGTGATATATTGTATCCCAAAACCTCTCCAAGAACTGCTGAATAACTTGTACAGGAACAATAACACTGATAATATGCCATTTTCAAGCTGCCAAAAAGTGATTGTGGCCTATATCTTGTCACTGAAACAATATTTCTGCTTCAAACTTGTTGGATATATTCCAGAAGGGTTACATGTGATATATTGTATCCCAAAACCTCTCCAAGAACTGCTGAAAAACTTTTAAAATAACATTAATACCGATAATATGCCATTTTCGACCTGCCAAAAAGTGATTGCCGCCTATATCTTGTCACTGAAATACTATTTCTGCTTCAAACTTGCTGCATGTCATTCAGATGGGTCATATGTCAAATATTATATCTCAAAGAGTCCCTTAGAACTGCTGAATAACTTGTACAAGAACAATAACACTGATAATATGCAATATTCAAGCTGCCAAAAAGTGATTGTGGACTATAACTTGTCACTGAAACAATATTTCGGCTTCAAACTTGTTGGATATATTCCAGAAGGGTTACATGTGATATATTATATCTCAGCCCCGCAAGACCAAAAAAACCCCATTTGTTTGTGAAGCATGCTGGTCAGAGGGTCGCTGTCAATTTTTCAATGTTTTGGAAATGTTTCTTGTTTTGTATCGTTAGAATAGAATAGAATAGAATTCAACTTTATTGTCATTGCACATGCACAGGTACAGGGCAACGAAATGCAGTCTCCTATAATATTTATTGGTTGTTTATTTGTTTATTAATTCATTAATTTATGTTCGTGTTGCTGTGTGTGTTTCTGTGTTGTTCACAAGTTCAGCTTTGATTGCAATTTTTTTGTAGGATGATTCAATTATTTTGTGTTTCCTAACATGTTAGCATAGTTACTGTATGCAAAGAATTAATATATATGTTGTTCCATGGTTTACTGGTGTTGAGCTTCCGCTATACCCCCTGTTTCTGGTCTATTTGTTAGTTTATTTTAACTGGTGGTTTCTTCTTTAATTGGATGTAATTGTTATTTGTTTTTGGTTTTCATTTCAATTAATAAGTGCTGTATTGGAATGACATTTTTATTACCTGACATTTTGTTTTGTCTTTCCTATTACTTGGTGTTCCTAATGTGTTTAAGCAGATCTCCTCCCACCTGTTTCCATTTGGCCATTATCCTTTTTTTGTATTATTTTTGAATTACAATATTTTTGAAATTTGACGTTTTATGCACAGGTTGAAAATGACATATTATCGGTATTAATGTTCTTTTAAAAGTTATTCAGCAGCTCTTGGAGACTGTTTGGGATATAATATATCACATGTAACCCTTCTGGAGGATATCCAACAAGTTTGAAGCAGAAATATTGTTTCAGTGACAAGATATAGGCGGCAATCACTTTTTGGCAGGTTGGAAATTGCATATTATCAGCTTTATCGTTCCCTTAATGGTTATTCAGCAGTTCTAAGGGACTGTTTGGGATATAATGTGTCACATAGGACCCTTCAGAATGACATGCAGCAAGTTTGAAGCAGAAATAGTATTTCATTAACAAGATATAGGCCACAATCACTTTTTGGCAGGCTGAAAATGGCATATTATCAGTGTTATTGTTCCTGTACAAGTTATTCAGCAGTTCTTGGAGAGGTTTTGGGATACAATATATCACATGTAACCCTTCTGGAATATATCCAACAAGTTTGAAGCAGAAATATTGTTTCAGTGACAAGTTATAGGCCACAATCACTTTTTGGTAGCGCTAAAATGCCATGTTCTCAGTCGTTATTCTGCACAAACAAGAAAGAGTCATGGTGATACTGGCACAATAGGTCTTTATTGTTTTAACTACTATTCGACAGTCTTATAACAAATATGAACAACGAGAGTAGACATACTAAACCTGTAGGCATTAATTATTCCATCGTGATGCGTGTAGTCATTCGTGACTGCGCTACACACTGAAAGCAACCTTCTGATAGCGTCATACTTCGGTTACAAGAAACGTTAAAGCTCCATAAATGCATACCTTTGCCTAATAACAAAGGCATAAATGTGTTTGGGTTTTCCCCCCCACGTTATATCAGTTGCACGGAAGTAGCTGGCAACGCAAGTAATACGGGCGCTGCAGCTTTAAGCAGCTGTGCGCGCTCCCGCGGACGGCAATCAGTTTCTGGCAGACAATCACATTTTGGCACAACACCGGTAAGGGGAAAAAAGTACTAAGGGAGGGCTCCACCCTTCTGTGTGCATACAGTGACCGCATGAGCGTGCGTGTGAGTGCGTTAATACGTGTTTTTAACCGCTTACTGCGAAGCATTCCGGGTGTTTGATGCCTGTCATGAAAGTGGATCAAATGTCAGGTAGAAGAAATCTCAACAAAGAGTAAAAGATTTCCATATATGAATCTGTTGCACGTTTTTCAGTTAAATTGTGATCTGCAGGGTATTTTGTGACAACAACGCGTCCAGAATGAGTCATGGCGGGTTTCTCTTCTGCATCGGTCTCACTGGGCTGCCTGTTAAAGACGAGTAACCTGACTCCTTTTGGATCTTCTGTCCACTGATCTCACAAACATACCTTCCTTTAGAAGTCAAATGTGAATTTGTTTCTGGGAAGCTGAGCAACGTCAACCGGAAATACCTTCCCACACCCTGACCTCACCACTTATCACCCACCTGACAGCCAAAACAAAGAGGGCTTTTTGAGTTTACTTACCTGGGCATGACTGCACCACAAAGCGCAGATTCCACATTAATCACACTCCTCTGCTGCACTTACATGGCACACAGAAAAGAAATCAGTTCTTCAGAACTAGTGCCAAAACAATTTGTAAACCAACATTAATGCGTTTGACATTTAGGAAGTTTATCAGTCAGAAAAGCAAAAAAGCTTCTCAGCTGTGGTCACTGAGTTCTGTGTTTGGTTAGTTACTCACAAAGACTCATCTAAAGATGTCCTGTTTGGCTCCGAAGGCTTTTCCCAATAAATGTTGCCCTTTGTTTACACAAACGCAGCAATTAAAGCAAAGACAAAAGCAGTGCGTTTCCATGCAAGCACAGTCAGACAGACATTATTTCAACATACGTTGTACTCAGTACTCTTTGCTGCTCGACACAGACACAGATAAAGCTGTGTTAAAAGACTTCTGATGGAGCCGACTTTGTGTTTGTGAACATTTTATTGACTCAACAGAAGCCCTTCCCCTTTTACCTCTTCAAACTACAATATGATCCATTCAGGATGGAAGCTGTTGTCATGTTCTCAGTACATTTAATCCTTACATAGATATTCAGGAGTCACTGGTGTAGAGACACATTTGCCATTATGCAATCTAACATAACAGGCCTGCCATAGCATCTGTCATTAGGAAACTCATAATGCCAAGTTGTGGTACTTTTATAACAGATATTTTTGCTTATGGTTTACCACTAAAGGTTGGGCTGTACTAGAGTGCATTTCATGTTTCACACACAATCTGGCAATGTGACCAAACGAGAACATTATGAGCCGCTTTTAACTGAAACCTTTTTCAGCCGCTTAGCAAAGCAATGCAAATGCATCCTGCATTTTGGCTATCACCTCATCTCTACCTTTGGCTTTCAGACATAACAGTGATTTTAATCTATTCTCTAACTCTCAACAAGACAGTAAATAAGTATACTGTTAAAGTGAAAGTCAACAGAAATGAGTTTTGTTGACATTGCAGGAGAGGATTGAGACTCGTGAACGCAAATACCTTTTATGCATAACAGGAACGAAGAATACTCGGATACTTAAAGAAGGATATTTCTAAATGAATCATCACGCCTAGACCATTTAAGATAAAGACCAGTACTTTTTCTCATTTGCAAATCACACACTAACGTACGGGCTAGTTGGTGTACTCAAAAAAGTCAACTAAGGCAGTTGTTTGATTAATTCAATAGACATTTGTCTATTTAACATGAACATATTGAGTTTAGGTTTTTAAATCATTATCAGTTGTTGGTTTAACATAAAATAACAAAAAGTTTAATGAACTAGATTTGCATTCTTCAGTTCAATTAAATGTAATTATTTTAAATCAACAACTCTAAAACCGATGCCTAGTGCGCATGCTCAAACTTCCCAAAAGTGAAGAGGCGGGAACGCGGAGAAGTTATATGTGTTCAGTGGACTGCCATTTCCCTCTGCGGAATCTTCCACAATACAGGTAAGTAATAAATAACTCAAAATATCTTAGTCAAACGAAGTTGTTTTGTCCATTAATTGTTTAACAATGTTTTTAATTCCAAATGTGTAAGTTGTCATTAGACAGCGGGAGTGGAGCAAATACAGTGAAAATCTGGTATTAGACGGTGCCAATCGGTACCGTCTAATACCTGATTTATAATCCGCTCTGGGTATATTTATACTATTATTAGCATTTCCACTTCATTGTTTTTCTTTTTTTTTTTTTAC